TAATAATGAAATGATGTCGAATTAAATTTTGAAATGCTAATTCAGTAGAGCTTAGTTAATTCAAATGAATTTCTTTATCACGTTCTTACTTGTTTAGAAGGAGATAATTGGAATGAATAATCGTTAAATATTTTTCATAAGTGATAACAAAAAAAAAAAAGAAATGAAACAATCATAGTAATTTGATGAAACTTTTATTTTAAAAATTAACTGATCAATTTCTGACAAAAATGAGCCTATCAGAAAGTTTTTTAGATTAGTTTCGAAATTTTGATTCATTTATGCCGTTATTTTGAGCTTATGAAAATTTGACGAGAATCGATTAGGTATTGTCATTTTGTGTTTCTTATAGATTTTTTGCTTATAAAAATTTTTGTCGAAATCAATTAAATATTGTAAATTCCATGCTTACATAGGTTTTTTTTAATTAACTGCTATTACTTTCTGTTCATGAAAAAAATTTCCAAAAAACTTATTAAGTAATCTTATTTTGTGCTTGTAAAAATTATTCGAAACTAATTAACGCATTGTCATTTTATGCTTACAAAAAATTTTGCAGAATCAATTAACATTGTCATTTTATATTTATTAAAAAATTTTCAAAATCAATTCAGTATTATCATTTTATGCTTTTCCTATTCTCTTATCCACCGGAAAATTTTATGCATTTCATTTCTCAAAATAAAAGAGCAGTAATTATTTATTTTGTTTTCTTTCAGGATTTAGTCTCATCGTCTTTAAATGTATACGTTGGTGATGTCGGTTCAAATGGTTGGTAGCATTTATATTCTTCCGGTCTTCTTCCTGTTCAGTTTTTAATTCATTTTTTACAAGTATTGATATTGTTACTAACCGATAAATTTAATACATACTGCTTTTATTTTTAATTATTAGTTATTAATATATTTAGAAATTTTCCAGCTTTCCAAATCTATAGTTTTGTGTGTCTATTCATTCTTCACTTTTTTTTTTAATTTCAATTTAAACAAATATTGCCGAATTTTTAGAAAAATTTTTGTAAAAAATTATTTTTTAACATAAATATGCTTTTGTTTAATAAACATATTAACAAATTATGAATAATTTCATTCAAATTATGAATAATTTGTAAGATTACCTGAAGTGATATTATATCATCTATACATCGTTTCTATTTAACTTAACAATGCTATTTTATCTAGTTAATTTTCAGTTGGCTAATTTTTGCTTTTTACTTATTTGTGGTATAATTTGACCATTTGATACGATAATCACAACTGAAGTGAAAAGAAAATCATTTACTTGGCAATAAAATGTATTTGAAATTGATTTGAATTTAATTAATTTGGTATTAAAACAAATTAAAGACAAATTAAACTAATTTATCAGTTTTTTTCAGTTTCCTATATTAATTAGTTGACAAAAGAGAAAGCAATCATTTTATCATTTGTTTGATTTCAATATTTCTCACTCAAATTTTCTAAACATGCAATTTTTCTATGTCATATTTAAATTAATTAAATTTGTATGCAAATGAATTACTGATTATAATAAAATCACATTATTAACATATTGTTTCATTGTACAATGTGGTCTTATATTTCATTTTATATTGTAATACATTATTGATTGATTATTGTTCTGGTAGCTTATTTCATATTAATTAACTTGTATTCATTTTTTTGTCTCATAAATTCCATTATGCATTTTCTTGCATAAAATTTATCAATTATTTTATCTAACTTCAAAACATTTGAAGATTTTTTTTTTTTTTGTTTATATTTGTCAAAAATCATGAAACAGATCAGTTAATTGTAATTAAGATTGTATTGTAACAAAAGCTATTGATTGTCTGAGATTAAAAATTCTGCAGAATATGTCAAATATGCCAACTTTCTTTTTGATCTAGATCAATAGATCCTTTTAATCTAAATCAATCAATAGAGAAAAAGATCTACAGAATAGATATTACAACAAGAAATCAATAGCTCAAATATTTTGTAAATCTGATTTTGAAATAGATGGATAAATTTATTTCAAATTAACTTAGAATTAGACAAGATTTACTAACAAAAAGATTCACTCACATCGATTTTCATTCAATAAAAATAAAAAAATGCACATATGCATTTAAAATAAATAATCTCAAAATAAAATGAATTTATTGTATTTTCCTAAAATGTCAAACTTCAATGACAACACAAATTAATGAATAACAATTATATTTCATTTTTTCTTGCTAAATTCTAACATAAATTTTGAAAAAGGAGGAAAAAAAACGAAACAGCATTCTTAGTTTGCTCTATTATCTACAATTTTAAATATTCCCATTATCAGTACGTATAAGAAACCTATTTCGTTCAAATGAAATCAAATTTTATTTATATTCAAATGCTCGAATTCATTCATTAATTTAGATCCTTTTTCTTGTACATTGATTCAATATTTGTGATATATTTCATCCATCCATTTATAGCTATTATTATTATTATTATTATTATTATTATTATTATTATTATTATTATTATTATTATTATAAGCAGTATTAGTAGTCTATTTCATTGACTGAAATGACTAAAATGAATTTGTTAGTTTAAAACATTCTTTAAATTCATATCATCAATTGATTAATTTTCAAATTTTTGCAAAATTTGAGAAAAGAATAGAGAAAGCAAGAATCGGCGGTGCTAAATTCAATTCTCTTTTTTGTTTTTCATTTCCGCAAAACTTTCCTCACTTTTTCTTTCATATTTCAAAATTTTAAATAAATAAGTATTTCTTTAAAAGAATTGTATAATGATTAAAATTTACGATTACGGAATTAATGCTTCCTTTTAAAAATCATTTAATGCTCATACTTTTGTATTTGTCCACTGAAATATAACTGACACAGAAAAACAGGTTGTCAGTAATTTTAACTTGTTTCGGAATAACATTAAACAATGAAGGCGGAAAATGGAAAAATGAGATAATTTTAGAAGAAATTTATAAACATTTTTAATTTCATCTGAACCATATGCTATTTCTTTTCTAATTAAAACTAAAATTTTGAAGATAAATTCATTATCATCTTGAAAATATCGAATTTAAATGTATCTATTTTGCATATACTTTTTGAAGCAAAAGCAAATTTTGCAAAATTAAATCAGTGAGTAATAAATAGTATTTATAGTTTATATTCACTACAATTTTCATTTCTAGTAACCAATTGAACGAAATAAAATGAAATGAAATGCACTCATTCAAGTTGCTAAAAGCTAAAAATCCCATTTGTTATTAGTGTGATAAAACTGATGATAATAATTACTCCCTAAAATTTCAACTTTCAAAAAAATTTTTTGAAAGTTGAGGCTGCAATTAAATTTGATAATGTCCCATTCAATAAGTTCATCTCACAGTGGGTTTTCTTTTTCCTTTTGTTCTAATTTAAAAAATTATATATATAAATTAAATTAGATATAAATATATGATATAAATTAAAAATGAATTTTTTCTCAGTTTTATTTTTAATGTTTAAAAATTAATTTAAATTAGTTCTTGTTTCCTTTAAAAAATTTTCGATTTCAAACAATTTCTCCTGTTTACTCAAATAATTTCATTCATTTTTTTTTTTTATCTTATCCATTTCCAAACACATTACGTCAATTCTTTCGTAAACATCAGGTGACACAGATGTCATTTGCATGCTTACGTATATGGGGGTTTACAAGTATGCATGTATGTATGTATGTGTGTATGTTTGTATGCATGCATGTATGTGTTACTAGATAACCCAATTTTTTCATTGGGTAGGTAGATAACTAATGATATCAACCAATACCTCTTTTCAACAATGCAAACAAAAGATACTGGAAATTTTTTCATCCCTTTTTTTTGTTTTGTTTTATTAAATATTTAAAATTTACTGTTTTTGTTTGCATGATGTTTTTAATGACTTATTAAAATTCTATTATTTTTCGTTACATGACTTAAAAAAAATTTACACGAAACTTTTTGATTATTACTGCTATCATTATTCGCCATCATTAGTCATCATCATCATTCATCATTATCATTATTCCTATCTACATCATTATCAGTCATCATTATCATTACCAAGATTATCTTATGATTATCACCATTCATCATTATCTCTATCGTTATCATCGTCAGCTATCATCATTATCGTCATTGTTGTTGATAAAGTTAGGGAATCAAAGTTCTTTGCTCTCTTTTATTTACATTTCTTTTTCCGCCTTATGACAAACAAGCTGTTTGCCCAAAAGCTTTGCTTATTTCAACTAATCGATGGGTTAAATGTTACAAATTAGTTTAGTCGAATAAAAGGGAGAAGAAAGTATTTCTTTGAATACTTTAGAAAAAAAAAAGAAAAAGCTTCTCTTTTGAATGTTTTTTGACAATTGTGTTTGTGGATAACAATAATTAGAAAGGTATTCCTTTCTTTTTGATTAATTTTGATTGCTTCGAATTTAGCTAATAAAATGTCTAAAAATGTAAATATCATATACCAATTTTTTTCTTCTATTCTTACTATTTTCGTGTATTCTTATCATTGTATAATCTTGTTGAGTGAGAAGCAAAAATATTTTTGATCCATCCTGGTGTAGTAGTATTTACCACTAATGAGGAGATTAATTGTAAAGAGTGAGTTATTATCGATGTAATTAAGAAAGATATAATAAGATATCGGCGGCAGGAATATATCAGATGAAAATAGCAGCTAAAATATGGGAGAAGTATTAGATGATGATAAATAATGATAATAATAATAATAACAATAATAATAATAATAATGAATAATAACAATAGTAAATAATAATAATAACGACAATAATAATAATAATAGTTAGTAATAATAATAACAAATGGTAGATGCTTATCGGATTTATTTAGATTATTGAATATGAAAAAGTTTGATGAAAATTGTTTTTTTTTCTTTTTTAAAAGTATTGCATGAAATAATTTCAAAATTTTCAGTGTTTTTTTTATCAATTTATTGCAAGAAATTACGCGAGAAAGGTATGCTGAATGCGCTTTTATCCATATATATTGGATGGCTATTAGGTTTAGTATTAACAACAGTCTTACTAATAATATTCGGCTATGATTGGGGGCCACTACCGCATTTATATGTTAAATTAGTGAAATTTGTGCAAAATTTTTATCCACATAATTATCCACAAACTCATACATCATGGCCAGCAATTATTAAACAGTGTGATACATCATTGCTTCGAAAACATCGTGATGACTCATTATCATCATTTTATTTCAGGTGATTAAAATATCAAATTCATTTTCAAGCTTTTCCATATTAAAAAAGTGAGAGGTTAAATTTAATTTTAAAAATAAGCTAAATTAATCGATGAAAAGGTTAAAATTCTAAGTCTTTTTTTTTAAACGAATTTATGCTAATTTTAATAATCTTTGTTAATTTAAATTTAATTAATTGTTAAACTTTCCTTTATTTTTCCTTTTTCTTTAATAACAAATATAGTATTATAGTGAAACTCCAATGCTAAATGTGTTTGATGTTTGTTCGGATGCATTTAAAGCTGGCTTCGAAGCAATTATTCAGGTTGAATTGTGCTTTTTATTAAATATTTATCTCTTACTAATTATTAAAGCATTATTATTTGTTTTGAGAAGTTTTGCCACTTTATCATGCATTTATTTCTAAAAAGAAGCTAACGAAAGAAAAGAAGAAAAAAAGACATCAGATCTTCTTTTAAAATTTAATATTTAAAAAATCAATCATATTAAATTAATTATTACATCATATTATTATTGGAAGTTAAACTTTGAAACATAATATTCGGAAATTAATAATAGTATTTAGTATTTGCGCAAAATCGAATTTTAAGATAAGTGTTTATTTAAGAAATGAAATCTGATTTTGAAATATATTTGAAAATAAGTGGTATTAATTAGTTAATAATGTAGGCAAGTTTGAATTTTAAATTATTTATTTAACAAGTGATGTTGAATTATTTTAATGTAACATTCAATATTTAATATTAAATATTATATTAAATTATTATTGGATTTTCTAAATCAAAAAAATATTTAATAAATATTAATATAATATTTATTAAATCTTGCTAACTCTTTTATTTGAATATAGGTATAGCAAAATTTTTTCACTCTAATTAATGCCCAGTAATTAATTACGAATAAAATTTGAACTATCTTTTCTTTTTTTTTACTTTTTGATTTTATTATCAAATTGTTGACAGGATCAATTAAGCGTTGCATTCGATTCCGCTCCACCATTCTATAGCACATTACTGGAACATCCTGGCCGATTACCATTTCTAGATACAAAACATCGCATTTCACGACGACACATTTTTGGCTACTTTGTCGCATTACTATTTCGCTATGGTGTTTTATTACCAATACGATTATCATTAATGTTTGTTTCATTTATTTTCTCAACAACCGCAATTGTTGCTGAACACTTTATGGATATGACTGATGAACAAAAACTACGTGTTGGTATTATGAATTGTCGATTATTTTGTGCTGGAATTGGCCTTGTTGCCAAATATCATAATCGTCAATATAGGCCTAAACATCCAGGTGAATAGTACATGCTATTATGTTTATCTTTCTTTTCTTCTTTTTTTTTTCTTTTTCTTAATATTTTGAAGCTAAATTATATCAATTAATTTAATTCTTTAAGTTTTACAAGTTAAATTAATTATTATAGTTTAATATCATAAATATCAGAATATGTGCATTCATCTGTATTTCTAACCTGAATTTTCTATAACATAATAATAGTAGCTATATATTTATTAATGTGATAATACTAATGTCATCTGTAATACATTTATAATATTGCATACCTTCTTTCTGATCATGTAAATCATTTTCTTATTAAATTAATACGTAAATCCCATAATACCTAACATTATGTTCTGATGAAATTTTCAGGTATTGCGGTGGCGAATCATTTATCACCAAATGATATACAGGCAATTTACGCCGATATTGACCCAAATAATGGTTATGGCTTTACAGTAACGGGTCAACGTCAAACTGGTCTTATTTGCTTTATTGAAACTATTGCCGAAAAATTAATTCCAACACTATGGGTTGAACGACGTAGTGCTACAGATCGTAAACGTTTCATGGATGAAGTGATTCGAAAAGCAAAGGTTTGAACTTTAAAAAATATAATAAAAAGTAAAAGAAAAATAAAAACCCTCTACACCTTTTTCCGCCACTGGATTATTTAAACGTTGGCTAATTATTTTAATATTTAATGCAAAAATCTTCAAATAACCACTGGAGAATTTCAAGTACTAAATATTTAGAAATTATTTCACATAAATTTCAGGCTGATGGCCCAGTGTTACTATTTCCTGAAGGCTATTGCACGAATAACACGCGTGTTTTACAGTTTCGAAAAGCTGTTTTTGAAGACAGTGTTGTTATTTATCCTATAGCAATAAGGTAATAATATCAATACAAATTCCGAAAATGTTTTTTTTTTTTTTTTTCCAAAAAATTTCACTAAGCATTTTTTAGGCAGAATGCACGTTTTGGAGATTCATTTTGGTCAGAACCAAAATTTTCGCAATATTTACTACGCGTACTAACGTCATGGGCAATGGTTTATGATGTCACTTATTTGGAGCCACAACAAAAACAGCCAGGTGAAAGTAATCAAGACTTTGCACAGCGAGTTCAGAAGGCTATAGCTAAAACGTACGTGAATCACTTCAAATTTCTTTACTATTATTTTTAATAATCACATCATCGAGCTTAATTATATGTTTTGTGGTAAAGGGCAAAAATAAAGATTACGGAAGAGATATTTTAAAATCAAGGAATTTCATTATGCTTAGTAGCATTTGTCGCCATCTTTTTTGAATTAAGAATTCACAACTTCAGCAGTTTTAAGCAGGTTTGCGCTTCTGAAACATCGAAAACCCAAACGGATTGACTTAATAAAGTGAAACTCTTAATGAATAAGACCTTAACTATGTCATTATTAAAGAATGATACTACAAAGACATGTGTAATTGGCATATTTTCAGCGCGGACGTTGAAAGTATCGCATTAGACGGTCGATTATGGTATATGAAAAGTGAACAGCAACGACTGAAAACACTGCAAATGAAAAATTTAGCAAGACGTTTTAAAGATCTCATTACCGAACAAACAGATTATGAGACAGTTCAGATGAAGTCATCAAAATCACTGAACGATATCAAATCATCATCAGTGTCATCAACTGTTTCAATTAATGGAGTTTCATTGACATGATAATAAAAAAAACTTTTTCAACAAAATAATACATAAATTAAGCATGTCTATAATTCATATCTCCATAAACAACTGCACTAAAATTTTGGTTAGGGAAAACATAAAAATACGAATCTTCATCTTACATTCATGAATCATGCTTAAACAAAACAAATCGAACAATAACAAATTATTCCCTAATCCATCAGAAAAAAAAAAAAAAAAAATGTAAAATGAAAGTAGCGAATAGCTCAGTAATAATCAACATCATTTTATATGATTTCGAGAAATTAGAATAGGATCCAGAAGAATAGGGAGAAAAACTGAGACTTTCTCCAAAAACTAATATTTTAAAATCAGCATTCCAGTAACGGACAGAAGTGCAGCAACTAACCTGAGTAAGTTTACGAAAATTTCCTCCGAAGTCAAGTTTAGAAAGCGGCATCAGAGGTGGTTCACAATCACGTCATAAGCAGTATAATAGTAATCGCAAAAATAGGTTATGAAATTAGCGATATAAAATAACATCAAGTCAAACGGAATCATTCAACAGTGTCCTACTCTAAATATGTAAAGAAATGGGCTGAAATAATTGAAATAATTCAAAAAAAAGAAATCAACGAGCATGGATATCTCACAAGATCCCAAAAAAATTCCTGCAGATCTGATTCAAGTAAAAACAAGTACCATTAAGTTCTAACTTAATGCCTGTAGTTTATGCAGGATAATGAAATGATGTCTAGTTGATTACATCACGTCTAATCTCCTCAATGATCCAATAATTCTAAGGAATAAGGATAAAATTTGATATAGTAATATGAGCTCTTGTTATTAAGAGAATGATGCTGCAAGCATTTCAGCAGTGTACCGTACATCTGGATCAACGATAAGACACCTTTTCAATATTTCAAATACCTGACGTTCATCTAAAATTTGTTTAGAAGATAACAAAAAAAAGGTACAGAATGTTCACCCTTATTATTTTTATCTCAACTAACAATGAACTCGCAGTAAATAGTATTTCCAGGTCACCAAAGAGAAGGTTTAAACATAAACGAATGAATGACTGAAGTTTCTTACGTCAAACTGGAATTTGAAATTGGAATTCAATTATCATTTGTTCAAATAAAATAGCTAGAAACAAGATAAACTCTACATCTAAAAACTTGTGATTTAAAATGAGAATTACCAGGAGCAAGTTGTCTCAACGAATGTTCTTCAGATACGCGACACATGCACTTCGCACCATAATTGCCGAAAAATAGGTTCCTACAGGTATCACAGTATTTACCTTGTGGCGGTATTTCTTCTGAAAAATGTAATAGATGCTTCAAATATTCCACTTCTTACTGGATTTATATATTCATGGCTGATTATGTCTTTAACCTATCGGTTGCAGATAGGAATATCGAAAACGTTTCAGATATGTGATAGCAATAAGTACCGAATACTTTTATCAATTCATATAAATGGCACATCTTTAGGCATCAGTCTACATTTAAAAAAAAAGAATTATATCATAAAAAATGAACCATTCCGGATGGCATACACAAATTTGACCATATCAAGACCAGGAAAATCCCAGCTAGCTAACAAAACTGAATTGTTTTTCTGTGCAAGTTGTTCAATTGGCTCCGAACCAAAAATAATAGCCATTTGTCCAATTGCTTCATAGTCATCATTTGGTCGCATTACTGGGTGCTTACGGCAAAGTAAAGATAAGAATGTAATACCAGCTGACCAGATGTCAACCAGAGAAGTTTGATGCCGATACTTAAGGAGCACTTCAGGGGCCCGAAAACCTGGTGTACCGGCCTGAAAATACCTTATCTGATGCACCATTATATAATGCACCATTATATAAAGTAGCATCACTGAACCTCCAAAAAAGAAAAAAAAAACATAGAGCTCCATAACTGTGACATACCTATCCCATCTGAAATTTCATAATTAACGGACACTCTATGCTTATACTCCAAGAGTATCACAAAAACACAAACTTTGTTGACATGAAGTCGAGGTCTCTTGGTGCATACGTCACACACACGTGGCAAACCGTGACATTCACATCTTTTTCGTTTAACACCTTTTCTTGCTTCACTCTTTTCACAAATCTTAAGATTTTGATCTGACACCTTAAGGTTTTTCAGTGCATTTCGTTCTCCTATCTAAAAGAATTATAACGATGTTGGAAACCATGACTATGAACATTAATATCCTGTCACTCACACAATGTGTCCAATAATTTATTTGATCCTTCGAATAAGACTAAAGAAAGGTCAGCTAAAACTTCGCTAACATTTCAGTTGACTGTCAACCGGTCGTTAAACGTTAAGAAAATCCAGAGAGTAAATTATCAATAATTACAAATAACTAATATTTTGAAAACTATCCTAAAAGTTTAATTAAATTCTCATACTTACGCCATGATGATTTCTCACATTTTTCTCCGGTTGACCATCAGACATTTCTTCACAAAGACCAAAATCTATCAAACAATACCTTAAACAAGTATCATAGTATGGAATAATACAGACTGTAATTTTTAATACATTTCCAAATTCTGAAATTTACTTATGTTTCGATCGATTGTACAGAAAATTAGACGGCTTAACATCCCGGTGAATGATACCTTTCCCATGTAGATACCTCAATGCATCCAATAAATTCTTCATATAATCCAGGATTTCTGGTACTGTGACTGAAGCCATGATTTCCTGCAAAAAAGGAACAATTAGGAACTAAATAATAACTACTTTACATTCATATATATATATATATATATATATATATATATATATATATATATATATCAAAACTCTGAAATTTTAAGTTAGAAATACTACTCTCTAACTTCAAACTCTCGAACCTTAAATTAGGTTAAATTAGAAAATCTACATTTCAATCTGTTAGTTTGTTGTCACCTTAGTAGGAGTATGCTCAAAGTAATCCATAACAATGAAAACACGATCACGTTCTCGATGAGCTGCATGGATCCTCATAATGTTATGAACACCACCAAAACGTTGCAGAATGCGTAATTCCATAGCGATAAATTTTGGTAAATTATTCCTTGCTAATTCTTTCATCGCATATGATGTACCAGGATCACGACGACATTTTATTTGATACACATTGCCAAAAGTACCTGAGAAAAAAAAAAATAACAATGTTATTATTTTGATGCGTCATTATGAAGTATATTATAAGAATTTTATTTATTCATAAGTGCATAATTAATATTTTTTCCATAAACATCGTAATAGAAGAGTATATTAGGTGCAACAGTAATCCAGTCTTTATCAATTAATCAATCTTCTATTCGATAACTGAGCATAAATATTACATTTCGAATTATATCGAAAGGAAGCGGGAGAGTGATAAACGTATTTCATGCAAAAATAATAATAGTTATATCAGTTCTACAGCTCAAACAATAATGGATTTTCGATCTGATTATTGATTTGATTACATATAGTTGTAGTAAGATAGCAATTAAATGTGAAAAGCAATGGCACTAAACTGAAATGTAGGGGTTTTATTTCTAAAAATGTGGTTAAACTTTAACACAAAAATTATTGTGGGGGCAGAAGAAATAAGTAAGATCAAAAATAAGAAAAAAGATAACCCAACTGCTTTCTCACTTAAATGAAAAATTAAAAATGAGAAGTGGAAGAATTGGAACGGCCCATAATTCTTTGATTCATTAATAGCGCTTGGTGATCAGACGACAGTCTGTTACATGAATATAATTTCCAAAATCATGTGAGTACAAGAAATAATTAATTTGTACCTGAACCAAGCACACCGCCAACGACAAAATTTTCTCGAACCCAACTACTACTCGTTGGTCGATCTGGTGGTACACGTCGTTTCCCGATACTTGGAGTAGGCATATTTATGGATCTTTTATGCCTCAAAATATTTATTCTTTAAATTAACTGGAATTTGAAATCGCACACTTCCACAGCTAAACCTAAATCACTTCCAGAACGAAAATTTCAAAAGTCAACAATTCAATCCTCGTGAGTTCTATTATTGCATTTCGATCGAAGTTAGCGTTTAACAGACCATCTGCGGTGTGTTATATCCTGTCTTAGGCTCATCCCAAATTGTCGGATGGTTTCCGTTCAGATTTGACGACTGGAGTGGGAGGGATTTGTTTACGCTGTGGAATATGAAATATTACGTAAAGTTAACTTATTGACTGGTCGTGAGAGCTCTACATAAGCTGGGATTTAAGTGGATGAGTGTTTAGGTGAACAGAGAAGAGTTGGGCAGTGATGGTATCAGCCGATATTCAGTGGCAGGTTATTCGAAAGACATCGTCATTTCTGCGTCGACAACGTGGAATCCCGAAACATTTTAGCAGAGAACGTTTTAATATCAAAGGTGTTAACAGTATTCGTTTCAATGGATTGGTTCATAGAAAAGGTTTGGACATCCAGGCAACATCTGATGGTAAAGGCATTGTAGTGGTAATGAAGAAGCGAGGTAAATCATTTGGTTTGTTCGCTTTTTGGTTAAATTGTAATTTTCGAACTTTTTATTAGCTCTATTATCTTTTGTACAGCCAAATTGTTCTCTCATCCTGTATCATTTAGCTGATATAGGATGAGAGAACAATTTGTCATTTTTTTAAGTGATTTAAAAATAGTTTATGTGTAGAGAATTGACGACATTAGAAATCGTTTCAGAAGTAGACCATTAATTAATCGAAGAATAATTGAAAATTGTGTAAAAACATTATTATGAAAGGATCATCAGGATTTGATTTTTAAAAGTGCAATATTTACTGACAATAAAGAAAGTGATTACGATCCATTTTATTGAATTTCTACGCCTGTTTTCTAAGAAGTGAAAAGAACAAGAAGAAAAAGATAGTTGTAAGAAATTATCCTTTCTCACAACAGGGTTACGCAGCTGACTACTGCATAGATGACTTTTTTGGTCCTTTGCTAAATCATTTTATCTTAATTCAGGCTTATTTCATATCGCATCTGTGTTGGTTTTTTAACATATTTTCGGAGAATTGTTTATTTAAACAGTTCTCCTAATTATTTTGCAAACATTGTAACATCAGTCTTAAGTGCAGCATCAGTTTTCTGGTTATCATGAATAACTTTAAGCTTGGAAATGTCGGCTCTTAAATTTTTACTTCTAACTTAATTTAGGGACGAGTTTTGCAGGTAAAACCTTTTTCCCTGCTAAGTCGGGCGTGTCGGTTACGCTGAAAAAGAACAGTCGTAAATCGTTAAAAAGCGTGAAGAATATTGCTCGTAGTTGCCGAATTCCTCATAAAGGAGTATGTTTTTATAGTTGGAATTTTCTTCATTTTCCAGTAAAAAATTTAAGCGAAAGTTATACTGTACTTAACATATTTTCTTTAACTGTGACATAGTTTAAGAATGTTAATCTTAATTTTATTCTCTTAAGGCTTACGCTTCACAGCGTAGTTTTATGAAATAATTATTTTTATCTTATAAAAGCATGAAATACTCAACTGCCTTAGCTAAATCTGCATCAGTGGTTGAGAACATGCAGAAGCTGAAAAATAATTTTTCATATTTTGCCTTTATTTTTTATTTCCAGTTGGCTCAGAAACGAGCTTCTCAGCTACTTCGTTCATTGAAACCGGTAGCATCACGCCGTGGACGACGTGTGCGCAAGACAGAAGTCTGATTAAGTTTTATATGGTTATTGTTTTATCTACCTTTCACATAATTTGATTGCATAAAATGTTTTCTAAACTTCGGAAATCTTCCACAACACAGTTGCATCACAGAAGAAAGTGCACATACTATGGCAGGTTGTTTCTATTTTCTCTAGGTGTTTTACGATTCCAAGTATTCATAAATGGGATATTAGTAGTGGAATACAGCGAATATTGATGCTTCACAAAACAAGTGGTCCTGAAATTTTTATGAAAGAATAAACTGTATCTTGTTGGAATTACTTTCCTGGCTTGGAAACAAGAGAAAGAAATAACTGCTTTCTGCAATGGAACTGACATTTGAATGAACGTAGTGCGCCACGGAGTCGGTGTCGCTATCCCACATGCATGCTGCATGTGCCCTGAATACTAAACTTTTATATATTAAAGACGCTATATAATTACTTAAGTGAAATTAACATACAGTGATCCGAAAGGAAGTCTTCCGTTTTACGATTAATGGAAGGACATTGCATAGCATTTCATACCTTTGTACTTTAGTGGTCATACGTTAGCACTTGGATTGCGTAACAGCTGTGCTTTTATGAGTGAGGGAGATTCATTTTATGAATGAAAATTGGTTGAAAAAATCTCACCTAACTCTTTGTCCATGTTCTTCCCCCAAAATAACTTGAATTATATACTTATATTTTGGTAAATTAAGTTCTGAAAGAATTATTAATTTGAAACAATAACATTTCCCAGAAATTGTAGATCAGTTTATTCCACCTAGTTCTCATATTTTCTTCTTAATTATACTTAAGGATTAAAGCAACTTTACAAATTAAGATTCAAGTATCAAGAAATATTCAGGAAACAATATAAATCTAGTGGAGCAAACACTTATTTAACAATAAATCTATCGATTGTAGAAGTATTCCTTGCCAGTTGATAAAACAAGCTTTGCTTCTTTCTTGAAGATAGAAAAACGCTTAGTAGTATAAGCTTTCTTTCTTTGTTTGTATGAAATAAGAAAAAAAAAAAGAAATTGGATAATTCTGAATACCTTTCAAACGATTTCGAATTATTGCTGATAATGAATTGCTGAGTTGCTCTGCATTGCTGGATTCAAACGTATATCCTTCTAAACTTTTAACTAATACTTCTTCTAATATTCGTTGTCCAATAGTGGCACGAAATCTTAAAGAATACACAAGTTTAATTTCATAATAGCTTAAAAGTTAGTGATATCATAATTGTGGACGAAAAAAGATGACATAGTTGATTTTGTATTTTTGCAATTTCCTTCTTCAACTTCGCAATTCCTTATTTTAAATTTTCTATTCGATTAGCAGCTGATTTAAGCTTAACATTTTGGAAATCCAACAATTTCGAAGTTTGAAAGTTTACGTACCACAACAGATACTAACTGGATTACACAAGTGCTGCGTTAAATTGTAAAATTCTTCAAACGATAAAATAAAACCTTAAATTAGCGAAACCAATTCTTTTTTTAATTTTAAAATAAAAATTTGGTCTTTGTAGGGTTGATAGCGCAGTTTTTGACAAGAAAAAGTAAAGAAGAAAGAGACAAAAATTAATTTTACATTTAAAGAATTGGCCACATGTTATAAAAATGTATCAGTTGATAAAAAATTATTTGTGAACTTACTTTTCCTGATTTGTCGGTCGTATAACGAGGCCAGAAACATCTGATGTTGCTCCGTTATAAATCATACTACTAAATTAGCCTAGCTTCTGTCCATCACTGGCCTAGTGTGTTATTGCTGTATCCATGGAAACGGATAGAATAAGTAATATATTTTATTGAATAAATCAATCAACACTTATTCTTTTAGCACATTATCATAGCATATTACAAACATGAAAAGACTCACTGCTAAGTTTAAAACATACGATACAATTAATTAATGATTAGAGATGAAATTTAGATATAATAGGATAATTTAGACTTAATCAAATAATTAGTTTGGGCTAATTGTTAAATGAAGCGCAGAAATTTTCTATACTAATTGTTAAATTATCATTTAAAGATTGATTAATCTATTTATTTGCATTCACATGAAGATGAAATGAGATATAATTTGATTTGATTATATAAAATTTGATTATGTTGTTAGAAACAATATAATCAAATTTTTTGATATGGTAATTGAACGAAATTTGAAAAATACCAAATGATTTATTATAAAGTACAAATTAGAATTAATTAATTCACTTTTAATTTCAATATCACCTCATTTGACAAAAGCATTCACTTTCTTAGCATTTTCAACATTAAATGATTGGCACCTGCACCAAAATAGGCGAATATTCAGTGCTATCTTCAAGTAATTCAAGCATTTCACCCTGTAATATCTTCTCTTTACTTATTGATTTAAAAGTTAACAATAATGCAAATAAAATCAAATTTGAAAATGTTAAATTTAAAAACTTGAGAAATTTTCAAAGTTAAATTTTAGAAATAATAACGTAAAATATCAGACGATCATATTGTTTTTCAAAGTATGTTTGAAAGTTTTAATTGAATAATCATAATTGATCTGAATTTTTGAAAAAAAAAAAAAAAAATTGAAAATTGTTTCTATTTAATTGGCAATATTTCCCAGTAACGTTTGTCGCATAACAAATTTAATTAATTTTAATTGTAGCATCAAAAGTTCTGGCGCAAATATCAAGCGTAAACTATATCATCAGTAAATTTTTTTTTTTCACTCTAGAAGTCCTGATGAAATGAAATGTTATTTAGTATTTTAGAAGATTGTAGAAATCTTTTCATGTGTAGCTTATTTTCTATTCTCAACTGATTATATTTAAAAATCTGTATATACCGGGAATAAGAATTAAACAATCTTTGTTCTCTCTATAGTATTTCTTCTTCAATTTTGGAATAATATTTATTAAAAAGCTAATGAAAAAAAACTTCATAATTTTATTAAAGTCATCCTTTAAAAAAATAGGAATTAATTTAGATTTAATTAACTAAACTAACCATAACTATTTGATCTTCATCATCCGTAGAATTTTTCATCACATTTATAATTTCATCTTCTAAGGTAGTATTTAAATTTAAATGTATAATATCATTATTATTCATTGAATGACAAAGTATTCTGCATGATTGTTTACGTCCATTTGAAATTTCATTCGACTCTTTTTCACTGGCAGATGAAATATTCCATTTCTGAATCGAACGAATATTACGTTGTTTTAAGAAATTTTGACGTAAAAGTAAATTTAGCCGTACACGATTAGCTCGACTGAGTGTTTTCAAAAATTGTTTTAATGCATCACTTTCTTGAGATTTTGTAAATGACATATTTGTTTTAATTTGTATTACTGTTAGCAAATTTTCGTCTTTTTTTGAGCTAATATTTACTGATTCTTCAGCGATTCTTTCCATTTGAATTATTTGTTGCTGAATTTTGTTCAGATTTTCAACAATTGCATCCTGAAAAATTGAAAAAAAAAAGTTATAAAATGTAAAAAAAATGTTAAAATCTCATGAAAATATCAAAAAATCTTAGTAAATAACGAAAATATTTTGAAAAATATCAGAAATTTCTTTCCTGTCTTTTTCTTATTTATGAAAAAAATTGAGAAATTAAAATAACACAAAATTGTTCAACCAGTTCAGAAATTTAAAAAAAAAAAACCTAAGTATGAACTAAATACGTCTGAACATTACACTCACATATTAACTTCGCAAATTTAATAACAATAAAAAAAAAAAAAACCATTTCTTTTGCTTTTCATTAAATAATGAAATAAAAAACAATGGAGTTTTTATAAAATCCAATCTTAAATTGCTTTCAAAATTTTCAAATGTCACAAAAAATGACAAATGTTATTTTAAAAAAAGAAAAAAAAAACACAATTGTTAATAAAAATTCGAAAACTGAAATTCTCCACAAAATTTCTAAAAATCACCTATGTCTAATTAGTATATCTAATGAAGACTTGGAGGTAGCTTAATTAGCATGAACTTTAAATAAATATAAGTGATATAACTTACAAATAAAATTCCGCTTTGTTTCAGCGCCCAATCACTGATCATATCATGAAACTCTTGCTTTGTCAATGTATTATTTTTAAAAATTAATCTCAATTCTCGTTCCGCATCAGCATATGTGACACGTAAAAGTCTCAGCAACTGTTGCAAATGGTACTTATCATAGTAATGAAAACCTGTTAATTATTTTCAAATGAATCAATTTTTATTTTTTATTTTTTTTTAAACCAATGACTCATTTCTAGCTTAGCATTTAACTTTATGATCTTCACATTCTGTCCAGCAATAAATATATATAAATGATGAAACAAAACAGTAAAATTTGTAAATTTAAAAGAAAAATAATATAACATAAAACATACTTTGTTTAGGCAAAATTATTACTATCTTTATCACTTTAGCATGTTTAGTTTTATTTTTCAAATTATTAGTAACCACAAATCATAATTAATTTATAACCTTTAAAACTTATATTTCTATCATAATTTTGTGGCTCATATTTGTAATTAGTGGCTTCAACTCACGATTTTAACTCATAATTTTTTTTCAATTTTAACTTCAACTCATAATTTGTATTTTCATGTTTATTAAACTTGTAGCAACTACTATTTTTTCTTAAAAATTTTTCCTTATTTATAATAATCAACCTTAACTTAGTATTTCTTTCACTTTTTCAAAAAATTTTCATTCGCTTTTTTTTTCAATATTACTTTTGTTCTTGAATTCATTGAAAGTTTTCTACTTCGCAATGTAAAATTAGAAATGAACAATATTACAAACTTTTTAAAGCTAACGTTAAAAAGAAAGGAAGAAAAATAGGGATTAAAATATTTCAAAAAGAATTTTTCGCTCAATTTTTTTTTAGAGTTATTTAATATTTCAGGAATTTTTCCGTTTTACACAATACAATACTTTTTCTTTCTTTTAACGATTACAAAAAAAAACAAGCAAAAATTCATACCGTCAAAGTTAATGAAGCATTTTGTCACATAAACTGTCGCCAATATTAGCAATAAATTTGTCAAGCGTACCATTGTTAGTGAATCTTTCAACAACTGAACAATTTTAACTTGTTAAATTGTTACTTAAATAATAATAGTAATGGGGACAATAATAATAATAATAGTGATAATAATAATCACTGTAAATTATGCAATAGATGGATTATAATGATGAATGTCTATTAGAGGATTAATAATTATCAACAAATATTATTGCAGTTATTATTACCGCATCCATTCAACCATTCACCCATTCATCCATTTCTTCATTTATTGATCCAAATAGAATGATCAGAAACTGGATTTTTTGATTAAATGTTTTTTTTTTTTTTTACTTTCTCTTTTTTCTTTTTTAACATCTATTAAAATTTTAAAGTTTCGATGAAGTGAGAGAATGCGAAGTTACAATAATTGAAAAAAATGAGAAAAGAAATGAAATGAAAAGATAAATTCGAAAAAAAAAATTTTTTTTTGTTTTTGTTTTGGTTTCACTGTTGATATAATGATTTTTTTGTCTGTTTTTGGCATTCATTGTTAGCATTAATTTAGTATTCTCCTTTTTTTCGTTTCAAAAGAAACGAAAAAGGAAAAGAAAGTTTTTTGTATATTAGCGCAAATTTTTAGAAAAAGTTCTGTTTTTTGGTCTGAGACATCTATGAAACATAGAAATTTAATTTGTTAATTTGTCAATCAATAATACATGCAACAAGTATAGCATTTCATGCATCAATTATTGTTTATGCGGTCATTAATATTATCCAGGTTGCTTGCATGTAGGTCCATGTTGTTTCTAACAAATGCATTACTGTAGAACAAGAACTACTGTAGGCCAATGTTGTTAATGAATGTATTACTATGAAACTTTTTTATTAATGTAGATTACTGAAGTGTCAAAAATACCTGTAATAGTGAGAGAAGAGGATTCTTGATATATATTAGAAAATTTTTGCTGTTAATCCTGAAATTGAAAACTATCACAGGTTAATATTAATTAACTTCAGATGCATTAAATAATTCTGATATTACTGAAAAAAAAAAAAAAAAGCACAGAAAACAAAACCAAAAAAAGATGGCGGAATACTTCGGCTTGTTTTTGGATAATCATCCTTTTTTTAATTATTAAAATTATAGTTTTTTTCTTCTGAAGTATTTTCAAAAACTTTTCGTGACGTCAGAAAGCAGCTTTTGACCTGAAAATTTGGACCTTTGCTGTCCAATAATATTGTTTTGCAAATATCGTTTTAGTCTTCCTAATTTCTGTTTGTTGTAAATATAGCAATGTTTGTATGCGAAATCTATATGAGAGGCGTAACCACCGAAAGATTGTTGCGAAGTGGCATTGATATATTCATTTTGACATCAAGAAATGTTGTCCTTGCATGGAGTAGGCAATACTGTTGTAGGATTTGTAGTTCTTACCGTTATCACTCTACTAATGTTTTTATCACTAATGCATGTATCAGTTTTATTTTCACGATAATCATCAATTTATTATTTTGGCTGTTAACTGATCTTTTTATTTGTAAGAGAAGCAATTAATTCTATTTTTTTCAGAAATTAAAATAACATCAAATGAGGCATGACAACTAATGAAGAAACTATTTCTGAGCAGTCTCAAATTTATCCATTAAAGGATACCACCTCATCTACTGATAAAACCGTCAGTATTTTTTTTTAAAGTTCTTCACATTATTTTTGATGAAGCATATTGATGATCTTGATGACTGTGTAAATTTATTGATGACTTAGAAGACTGTGTAAAGTTATCTTTAACGTTATGCATATTAGCTAATTTTTATTGGTAGAGACGTTCATTGCTACACGTTTATTTGTTGATAGTTTGAAGTGTTTGTTTTCACAGATGAATGATTCTTTGGAAAAAGCCGCATTTGGCCGGAAACATCTAAGACGACGTTCATCATTATTTTTTAGAAATGTAAGTTATGCAGTCTTCTTTCTCTTCAATTTTCATAAATGTTGTCGATACTATAACTGATTAGTTTTTACCTAATATTAGACGGAAGTGAATAATGCCGTTCCTGACGACGTATCAAATTTTAACTGTCGTAGTAGCAGTGGAAAAACGCTTGAAGGAAAAGTGATTACTTTGGGTAACAAGCGACGTACATCAATGAATTTACGGAAATCGATTTATAGGACGAGGTCAAAGGTTGCACCAAGAAAGTTTGAGGTACATCTTTAATTGTTGTTTTTATGTTCACATAACGTTTCGACATAATTCCATCGCTTTGCTTTGATATGTTCATCGTGTAAGTGAATATTTTTGGAGAAGTCAACCAGTTACCAATTGTATATTAGAACTAATGGTATGAATAATTGCTAACCCTGTTAAATTTTTTCTCTAATTTTTGTACATTTCTAGATAACTTGCGAGCCTCCACCGGTATCGTTGAAGCCCATCTTGCTAAATATTACTCAGAAAACAGTTCGACGTATAACAATGAAAGCAAAGGGATGGAATAAGCATAAACGCGTACATTTCGATTCAGTCCCGCACGTTCATGAGATTACTCCACGTTCTGGGAAGATACCTGGAGTTGTGAAAATGCCAGACTCTCCACCAACCGTAAAAGAATTAGTTATTAAAGAAGTATTTTTTCTTATTTTATAATAAAAATTACATATGGAACGTTATTTTTAACACTATATTCCCGAAACGTGTGAATTCTTGAAGTAAATGGTCATCGTCTCTTTTAAAAAGAAATAAAATGAAACTGTTAAGCTCTGGTTACGTTAGTTTTTAGCGGAAAAGAAATTGCGTAACGAAATTAAGCATGTTCAGTATGTTGCCTTTTTTCTAAGTTTTATCATTCACTTAATATTTCATTGAGCATTAAATTTTTTTTCAGATTGCTAGCGACAATAAAGAATTTGACATACCCACTACTCAGTCTGTTATTTTGCAAGACACCACCACGAATACGTTTCAAAATGAGATAGTTAGGTTTTTGCCTGCCATATCTCAAACTTTTCAATGTCATTTAGATGAGGAAAAGATTGTTAACGAATGTCTGGAAGCGAAAAATGATGAAGGCAGTAGTGACGCAGTCGATAATGGTATGTATGCATTACTATGAATACTTGTAGGAAGATAATGTGACACAGTGTTTATTTTTTTTGTCAGAAAACTTTAGATACATTTGTCAGCATTATTTTTTACATACTTGGCATATTTTTTTAAAGATGATCATACACTACAATCAAAAAAGCGAGGTGTTGGTCATTATATGAACCGAAAAAGAGCTGTAAATCGTTTCGAGGTATCGGATTTATCAGAAACAGTTAAAAGACCCAAACGACGTGTTGTAAGTTCTAAGTTTTTCACATTTTGAAGAAATATGAAGAAATTATGAAGAAAATTAATATGAAGAAATTAATATCAAATATTTATTCTGATTGGCTTGACTTAGGAACTATTCTCGCCAGTTTCGAAAATTAAAAAACGTGCATTCGTATTTGTTTCTTAACGACAAAATTAAGGGTCGTTTTGCCTTTAAGATTTTAAAACTCATGATGCGCTCAAAGTAATTTAATGTTCAGCTCTTCAAGAAATTTTACACTTTGATAACAGATTGAAAAAAATTTAAGGAGGAAAAAGCAATTACATGGGTGCGTGGAGACCGATTGCGAAATCTTTCCTTAGGAATAAAACAGGTTCATTATTGATTAACTGCGTTTTAAATAACTAAACCAAAAGTTTCATTTATTTAGCTCTAGCTGCTCATTACTTTTATTTTAACATTACTCACGATGAACTACCTGTTTATTTCGTTATTTATCATTGATGATTGCACGTAAAACTTGCACATGTTAAATTATGAAGGTTTCCTTTTATAGGACGTAAATGATGATAAAGAAAATGCGAATTTAAATATATTAAATGACAAGCAGAGTAATGATGAACAGAAGTGCAATGAAGCATCTGATAGTCTGCAACATTTACGTGCATCTTTATTGGTTGTCCCACGTACAGGACCAAAAGCAAAGTATATTTTCATTTTAAATAAATTTTTGTGGTTCATATTTAAAAAAAAAAAAACAATATAATGACATTCGATCAACTTTGAAATCTTTTAATAAGTCAAAGCAATTTCCGGATATTTTCTATTCAGTAGCGTCATTTCAGAGTTAAGAAATGGCTGCAAGACCTACCAAACCAATGGTGTCATCAGGCTCATGAGGAAGATGCATTTATGTGGAATCAACAGGAACAGATCACTGATGAAAGTATAGCAAAGTGCGATAGTATATTGATACAAAAGCACTCATTACGTAGGCAAAGCTTTGGAGGATTGCCAAGTAAGTAACTTAAATTAGATAATTTATGATAAAGGTAAATTTTTCATTTATTAAAAAGTGGTGATGTAATATGAGGTAGTCATTTGTTATTCCGCTTTGTTTAATCCTTTCATTATCTTATTGCTTTTCAGAGAAACAGGATAAAGGAAATAAGTCTTGTCGGAAGTCACTGTTGTTTCAGAAAACGGTTAGCAAATTATCAGGTCCGAATCGCTCTCAAACGATCATAGTAGGAGAAGTAAAAGGAAATGTATATGGGGTGATTTTTAAATTGACTCACGCATTACTAATGTGAATTTTGGACAAACGTTTCTAGATAGAAATTAATTACTACTTGTCAGGTTGAGATTTTTTTTTTACGTTCTATGACGCTACTTATCTGAGCTGCACTGCACTGAATTAGAATGATCAGTTAATTAGTCATGTTCGATATTATGACATCCTTTCTGAATATTTAGAATTAATTATTTAATACGTCAAAATATTTAGAAAGAAAATTTTATAAAAAAATAAGATATCTGCATACTCATTTATTTTGCAGGAAAGTTCGTTCTCAAACCTCACGTGTGCGGAAAATGTTGATCAGACCCGTTGCTGCTCTGCTTCAGCAGTGTCTTGCAGTGTTAGTTTAATTTGTTAGTTTTGAGTCTAGTTATTAGCAAAATACTGATAAGGTGGAGCCGAACTGTGGGCTTTCCAGGCTTTGATTTATCATTCATCACTTAAAGGATTTGCTTCGATTAGTAATGAAGATCATGATAAAGCCTTCTACACTTAAAACTGCTTTACCAACATATTTAGCGAAATACTGATGAGGTGGATGATGAGGTAGTACTCCTAGACGATCAAGGATTGACCAATATACCTGGGAACTCGCTAATTTTCTACAAGAATAAAATTGACACGAGAAATACTAGACAAACGACAACCAATAAAGCAGAGACAGTCATGAAGAGTTCTTTAATTTGTGGTGACAAACTTGTCGGTGAGGAAATGAACAGTTTGCTAAGGCATGAGAAGAAAACAGGTTTTAATTTTAGCATACATTATTTCTTTTATTTTGTATATTTTCATATACTTAACAGGACTATTGTTGAAAAATTATTTTAATTCATTCCATCTAAGGGTGAAACCAATATATGTTTGTAGTATCTGTTGTGTAAACTTTGGTACCCTACATTATAGTTTTCATGGATGAGATGGATTTTGCACCTTTTCCCAGCGTTTCGAATATTGGATACGCTGAAATACTATCTGTTAACTATGACTTACCATGTGAACTTCGTCAGCACCAGATACCTAAGATGGTTTTATACAATAATAATAATACATTTCAAATATCATTCCGGAGAAAGAGCTTTTGTGAAGATGAATTAGAACAGAATGTTGGTTCACACATCCCACTGAGATCCAGAAGGTAACCGTCTTTGAATTCTTTAAGTTATTTTTGATTCTTGCTCTTTTATATTCGTAATTGATGTATTAAAAACTTGTTTGTAGTGCAAGAAAGAAATTGTCAAAAAGTGGGAGATGGAACTCGCTCACTGAAGAACTGCAAGAGAATACTTGGAGTGAAGCATTGAGACCAATGGAAACTGATGAATTAATTATTGATGGTCCCACCGTTCGTAAACTGTGTGACTGGATTAATATGTGGAAAGAACGATTGCGAAAAAGCAGGGATAATAAGAAAGGTAATACTTTCATACTTGATCAATGATCAAGAAATGAGGCAAACTGATGTAGTTTTTTTTTTTTTTTTTTTCGACTATAATAATGCATGACTGATGTTGTTAGCTTGGCGTTTGCAGATATAATAGTACCTAGTCGACGGAAAAAACGTGATTCGGACTCCTTCGATTCGTGTGATTCTGATGAGGTAGAGCAATTGTGCAATACTGCTATCATATACGGTCACTGTGGTAGTGGCAAAACATCACTGGTAAGGGATTTTAATTTTGATAAACGGTTTTCTATGGGTTATTGTGGATCTTAATTTTGATTATCATTTCTTGATTCTCGTCTGTTAATCTATGGGAATAATAATGAATGCAATGCTGAAGTGTATGGTTGGTATTTGTTTTAGGTTTATGCAGTTTCGAAGCGTTATGAAATGCATGTTTTAGAAATTGCATCTAATGAAAAGAGAAATGGCTTGCAGCTGAAGTGTAAGTTGCAAGGAGCTACACATTCTCATAAGGTGTTAATTATTCGTTTTAAATTCTTGTCTGTAATTAAGAAAATTTCTTTTTTACCTTTTAGTTTTCATAATCTGTCAAAATATTCCAGAGATATTTACTGCAAATTCAGTATTTTCTAGTCAATTTATGCTGAATTTATTTCAGTTTCCGATGTCTACAATGGTAAATCAGATGTTCTTCCGAAATGAAAAGAATGATGGAAAGATGATTGAAGATTCCATCATTTTGGTTGATGATGTAATTTTTTTTAATTTTGTTTATATTTTAAGATCGAATTTTTTGTTGAAAAAAAAGAATGATGCTTTTTTAGTGCGATGTAATATATGATAAGCATGATGACGGATTTTGGCCCGCACTAAGAGCTCTATGCAGAGAAGCTCGTACACCAATTATCATTATTTGTGAAGGTTAATTTCACGTTTTTTTTTTTTTGTTTATATATATATATTATAATATGCTATTTCTTTTATAGTTATAGAGAAGCAATGTCCTTCGCCAATTTCAGACATCTCTCTTGTTCGTAGACAGTTAGGATTTGAAGTACCTGTTCTCATATTTTCCTTAATTAGACCAGAGGTACAGAGCGTTTCTTCGCATCTTCAGGTGCGTTGTTTAAAATCGATGGAATTTATTTATTTTTCTCATTTCTCATAAAATTTGCTTTATTAATTCTTACCGTCATACCTTTTCTTTTCTCTTTTTCGGTTTTCCGTTGAGTAGATCAAAATAACTACTCGAATATTTTCAGAAACTTTGTGCTGCTCTAGACATCAGTGTTTGTTCCGATACCTGTTGTGCTCTGGCTGAGCAGTATAACGGTGATTTGCGGGCATGTATCAATCAGCTTCAGTTTTACTCTGGAGAAGATAGCAATAATTGTTTAAGAATGGTAGATTAATTATAAGATGTAATGAAGTAGGAAATATATAGTAATATTTCATTTGAGGGTATTCTTGCTAATACGGACAAGTTATATATCGTTCGAATGATTATTTAGAATATCAGGTTTCAAACTATTGATTTGATGGTTGCTCCTACTACGATCTAACTGTTAATTAAAATTACTTACTCTTGCACATTTAGTATCTGTCATCGATTCTACTTTCCTGAAACTTTCGAAAATATGTCAATATGTCAAAATGTTCTAACAGTTAGAATTTTTACAATAAGAGATTATGAAGTTATTTTTTTTTACTTCAAGATATGGAATGTAAATTTTATCCAGTAACTAAACTCTTGCAGTTGATGAAAAGATTAAGGAGTGAGGAGCAAACGGAATTTGAAGCACTATCCAAAAAGTGCCATTTCATTTCATATAATGTCATGTTACGCCACGACCATTCATACGAACCGAGAACAATTCTTTCATTGACGGATCGGTTTGCATTATGTTCTTTTTTTTCTTTAAAAAAAAAATTGATCACTTGCACGTTAAGTATTCATAAGTTTTTATTTTAGAGAGGAGGAGGATTTACATAATGTAGAGAAGAGTGATATGCATGCTGCAGTGAGAATTACTCGTTCTGTGCTACCTGCAACTGAGTACTTCCCTTTGAACGGTAAGTGTTTTTTTTTTTTTTTCTAGTTTTGACTTATTTGACTTTATTCCTTCACTTAGTTTGGCTTATTTCGTTCAGTATAGCTAAAATTTTGCTCCGATTTCTCTTTTTGTGAGTAGTTGCATCTTTACCAAAGGCCTGATAGAAGCAAATTTTACTTATGCCTTAAAGCGTATATTTCAAGATTCTGAGAAATAAAAATGTAAACAGTTTTCTAAAGTTTTCCATCTTAAATCTGATGCTAAGAACTAATTTCGTTCACTCAGATGATATTGCAAAAGATTTGCAAATTTAAATGTTGATTTTTGAAAAATTATTTTACAGATGTGATACTTGATTACATACCATATCTGTGCATTATGGATAAAGCATCTCGTGCCAAAATGCCTGCCTGTCGTCGCGCTCAACATTATTTTGATGAATTACACGGTGACTCACAAATAGATTCCAGTGGTACTCTGAAAAATGTTTTAACCCAATATTATTTACTAAATTATTGATCTCTTTTGCGAGTGTATGCAGCTTCTCCTAGAATTTGTGAGAACGATCATTTTAAATTGAAATTAGAAAATCATGATCAAGTTTCAATTTAATAACATAAAAGTATGCTGTTTCTAAGACATTCTAAATAGTTATTTTGATGATCCTATCTAAACTTATTATTTATTTACCAATTTGGTCCTTTCTCAATGATTGCATTCGATTTTTATGTAACTTTATAGTGCTATGTATTAGTGCAGTAAATATATTTTATCACTGAATGGAGTTTTTCATATTGTGAAAGTCTGCTCTTTGACTCATATTCATTACATACAAACACAATTTGTTACCTATATTGGCTTAAAACGAGAATACATTTCAGTGAATTTTCAAAGGGTTTTTTGGAATTGGTCGGTCTAATTCCATTCATCTCATATTTCCTCATTTCATAATATTTATTTTAATTATCCTATTTTCAAAAGCCCTAAAACGATATTCGTTCTGTGAAGCACAATTTTAAAAACATTTCCATATATTTCATGTAATATATTTTGAGCTATTGTGTTGAAGTGGATTTAGTATTTAAAAATGAAGCTTAGGATTTTTTTGCACTTCCGTATTTTGCTTTACATCATACATTTATGCATTCGTAGACAATCACAACTCTAAGAATCTCTATTAGTTTTAAATCTATTTTAAAACTGCCCACCGGTGTTTACGGCGGTTAAAAATGGACATATGCTATTGAGGTAAGCGCGTAGCACCGTTTCAGAGGTCAACATGTCGCGTGGAAGCAGTGCAGGCTTCGATCGTCATATTACAATCTTCTCTCCAGAGGGAAGAGTGTACCAAGTTGGTAAGGTATTTCTATAATTTAGATATGTGTAATAGATTAATTTGTGTAATTAGCTTTTAGTGGTCTATTAATGCATATTCATCATTTTGGCCTTCAATTTTAGAATATGCTTTCAAAGCGATAAATTCAACGAATTTGACAGCTGTCGGTGTAAAAGGTGTCAACTGTGCTGTTGTCGCAGTACAGAAACGTGTACCTGTAAGTTTTTGTGCACTTCATAGTCAGTAAAATATGTCGCTGTTTTATGAAAATTTTGAAAGCTTTATTATTAAATCTAATAGTAGTGTTTCTACCTAATCAGTAGTATGATATCATGTGGAAAAGAAAATACATGGATTTATCATTTCGTCACTTTCGGTTGAGTGCCAAAAAACCTGAATGCAACAATAAAATTGATTTTGTTCGTTATTTCGTCTTATAATTTTCTTGTATTTTCATACCTGGTGCTTAAAAATATATAGTTGTGCCATTTCTATCGATTTAAGGATAAGCTGATTGTGGCAGATTCTGTGACAAGTTTGTATCAATTAACGCCAACGATTGGCTGTGCAATGGTGGGAATGATACGTATGTTTTGATTCATCTTCATGATCCTAGATTAGGATGCATAAGTGGAAAGTTTCTATAGATTTGCATGTAAATAATTTGACGGTAATGTTGCTGGGAATTGCATTATTTAGGAATAATAAGGTTGACAGTCATGGTATCCGTCGGTAAAACAAATCTCATAAAAATTTTGAATATGTTACAAAACACTGATACACTATCCCACATTAAATCGCATTTTTTAAGCGGATAGTAAATTCCAAGTGAAACGAGCTCAAATAGAAGCAGCGGAATGGAAGTACAAGAATGGTTACAACATGTCGGTAGAGCAGCTTAGTAAGAGAATGGCTGATCTCAATCAGTATTATACTCAGAATGCTGAGTTACGTTCATTGGGTTGTGGTATGTGACTGTTAAATTAGATTAATTTCTTAGGCATATATGGACATCATTTCATTTTGATGTAAATGTAAAGAAATTGAGAAATTTATTTCTCATGTAACGCATTATTCTATTGTTTCTAATAATTTTATTGCCAGTTTCCATTTTTATCGCTATATTTTTGGAATGTATATAGATAATCTAAGCAACATATAATATGTTGGAAACATGTAATGTGCAATAGCTTCATCAAATAAATGAAATAATTATTTTGGTCTGTATAGATTTAATAATAGCTTAATGATTATAGTTATGCTGCTGATCTCATATGATGATGAGGAGGGACCTCAGATATTTCGCGTAGATCCAGCTGGTTATTATCGAGGAATGCGTGGTGTTGGTGTTGGTGTAAAACAACAACCTGCAAATAGTTTTCTGGAGAAAAAGCTCAAGAAAAAAACTGATTACGATTACGAAGGTACAGTGCAGGTATGTTCTACCATGTTACAAAAATAGATAAGAGCGTAATGTCAGTTATAAAAGTTATTTCATTGATAATCGAATAGAGTGATGTTGTTGTAAATGTGCATTTGTTTAGTTACTTTATTAGTTGGACTTAGCTATCTATAATATTTTTTTTTTTTTTTTTTTTTTTGAAAATATTAGCTATGATCATCTGCTTAAATTTATTTGAAAGTAACATCAGTAACTCTGCTATTTTCAGTTAGCTCTTGAATGTTTGCAATCATCCTTGGGCGTTGATTTAAAGGCATCAGAAGTTGAGGTTGCCGTTGTTACAAAAGATAACAAAAAATTCAGGTACTGAAATACTGGCGAAGTAAAACATGAGAATAACTTGAGATGGTGAGGACCAAAAAAGAAAAAAGAAATCAAGAATGGGTCGCAGAATTATGTTTCATGTTTAAGAAGATATTTTCAGGAAACTGCCAAATACAGAGGTTGATCATCATTTGAACGCTATCGCTGAAAGAGACTGAGAAACATTTTGTTAATTATTTATTATCCATATGTTCATTTAAATTTCTTAGAAATAAGATATTTCATATAATGCATGGTGTTGAATTACAATGCATATTCATTTCTCTGGTTTCTGCTCATTGAAAATACTGATCGTACGTGATCGGTGTCGCTCCTCCGTAAATCGTATACCTGTCGGTATTCTTGTATGGGGTGTTCCAGTTTGTGCTGTTATTTTATTCCTATTTGCAGTCATTACACCTTTTGAAGGTAAAGGATCTCTGAAAATTAACGCTTTTCTCTAACAACTCGGCTTTTATGACTAAATATCGTCCTATCGATATTTTCATTATGAAATTAATGATACATACATAATATAAAGCTTTAAAAAAAAGAGGAAACAGATAGTTTTCGCTATTTTCTTCCTTCTGATTTGTGGGCATTCGAAAATTTTAAAGTTGTATTAAAATAATTTTTGAAAGGTTCATTTGCTTTTACCTTGATGATTTCCCAATAGGAACAAAGATTTCTTCAGTGATAACAGATTCAGGAATTTGAACATCTTTTTCTATTGGGACACTTGTTATAGATATTGGTGCTGGTAGCTTTTGCATGCTAAAATGCACATCATTTTCAGAATCAAACACTAATGTGACACATAACAGTACAGAGGTGTGAGTTAGCAAGAATTAATATGGGCGTGAGTTAACTAGCAAAAATTATTAATTACGTGAGGTAATTATTGTTTCATTTTTTAAGAGTGAGTCGTTACTGGGGGTTTTTTTCCTTTTTTTGTAAAATTGAGATCAACTGAATTCATTGACCAGCCATATTTCTTCATTAATTTATGAAATTTTAAGATTGTATATTTCTTTTTTAAAATCAAATGAAATTTAGAATATACTTGTATCTGGATTCACGCTAAAGAAAAAATCCACATTAAAAAATTGTGGATTTCAAGTTTGAACTAAATTTATGATAGAACGGTACAAGGACAAAAAGAATTCACTTTAAAGATCAAATAAAGTGAAGGAGTATTTTTCAGTTATCGATTATCAGTCATATTGGTGATAGCATATTCTGACGGGATCAAATTTTTAAATGTTCAATTATATCGGTGCTGTAATTTGATTTTACAAATAAATAAGCAAAAATGATGACAATTGTTGACACATGTCAACTGCTAACTCTAACCATATCTTCTGCATATCTTTATTCTTTTGATAATTTTCCTCTGATTTCGATATGTATGAATATTCTTCACTTTCTGGATATTCATCGCTGTAATATTCATTCATTGAAATGTTTTAATCTTTAGGTCTAATTATAATTATAAAGCTTATTCAAATCATGTATCATAATCTTTTGCTCAAATATTATCACATAATTAATTCCATTTCAAAACTTCATAATAAATATTATGATATGTTAATAATAAATAAAACCTCACTACCGTGATCTATTTCCGCATACTGTTACTGAAATAATTGAAAATAATAATGTTAGTAAAAGATATGGAATGATTGCAATTGTTGTTTGTTGAAAATTTCGAATTGAACACCAACCAACGACTGTTCCACTATCTATCATTTCCTACAAATAACTTATAATATTTTTATTTTTTAATTTATAATTAATTTATGAATGAGAAATATTTTGATCGAAAAAGAAAAATGCATTATGCACTGACATTATGCACTAATTGATTAAAAAATTTGTTATATAGATTTAATTATATAATATCTTTTACCATTACCTCTTTTTTTGCAACAAATTATCGCATGAATAACTTCTTTCTAATTCTAATATTGCCGCAGAGAAACTTGTAGTACATACAATGAAAATAGTAAAAGAATAAAAAAATTTTTAAAACGGAATTGAAAATAATAGAAAACAGGAGAGGAATAAAAGAAAAATTATGCAAACACAAATAAAGTTGAAAACAATTGCAAAAAATACAAAATAAACAAACAATTAAAAAGTCAAAGTTAAAATAGAATTAATAAAAACAGAAAAAAATGGAAAAAAAAAACAGTAAAAATGAAAAATATATTAAATATAATAATTTTCTATCACACATTTTAATTTTGCAGGAAAAGAAATCGCTAACGCTTCATTAAAAATCAATTATATTAAATTTATTTTTGCTCAAAAATCATGTGTTGTTGTGATTCTCTGACTGAAAAGATAAACAAAATTATTTTGTTTAAAAATTTTTTCTCAATTCCATTGCTAAATCTATGCTAATTAATGAATAATTTCTTTTGTTGGAATGCAACTTCTCTAAACTTCTCAACAAAATTTTTGTGACAATTATTAAAAAGCAAATTCAAGAATTTTTTCTGCTTCGTAAAAATGTTCTCAAGACGTTTATCTGCCAATTTTTTAATTATTATTACAAAAATTTTCATCGATTTTTATTATTGCTTTTTTTTTTTCAAAATTCTGAATTATTTATTTCTTTTCATATCTTCAAAGTGAAAAAACGAGACAATTTTTTATTTTATATTTGATCTATAAAAAAAAATCTAAACAGTAAATTTATCTGACTCCTGATCATTACTGAAATAATTTTAGAGTAAAATGAATTATTCACTTTAACATATAATTTGATAATTTCCATTTAACATTTAACAGAAATAAGGTCATATATTTTGAAAAAGTAAAAGAAATTAAAAAAGTTTTTATAAGCAAATTTGATTTATACAATTTCTTTCCTTTATACATATGCATGAATGAATTTTAAAATAATTTGAAATAACTATGGGATATTCTTATGAAATTAATTCATTTAAGATTGGCTTTTTTTATAAAATCTTCTTTAAGTATTTCAAACATTAAATTTATCATGCTAATTCAATAGCAAAAAAAAAAAAGAAAGAAATTTAAAATAATAAACGAAATGAGAAAAAAGTGTCGATTTTTTTCCTAAAATTAACGGATTTAAATTATTTCAGATTTCCTCTGTAAAAAAAGAAAATTTTATCAAATTGAAATTTTTTGAAAATTTTTACATCCTAAAAATGAATAATACTGGGAAATAAATCCGGATAAGCTAGCAAAAGCTTTTCAATATCGATGACATATTGGAACATCAAAATGAAAAGATTAAAATTGGGAAATTATTACTGATTCTAAATTATTGTAGCCTAAAATTGAACAGATCGGATAATCTCTCATTTAATTATATGTAATAACACATGATGCACTGCTCTTTTTTAAACTATAGCATTTCAACTGTTTCTTTTCCTTCTCATTTTCAATTTGATTTTAATTGAAATTCCAATTTTTTCTAATGCACTGCAAACAGGTAAATAATTGATTGTTCATTAACATTTCAATTATTATAAAAGACAGCCATATTTGGTTTACTTTAAAATCTGTATGTATTATTTGCTGAATTTATTTTCCATTTATTTAAATACTTCATGCTTTTTTCTTTTGATTTTTTTTTACTTCAAACAATGTACAGGGAAAGAGGGAAAGAAAAAAAAAGGGGGAAGCAGTAAATGACTATTTTTTTTTAAAAAAAATTAATGAAACAATTCAAAATTTTGCACAAATTTATTTTGGTTTTATTCTTTTTCCCTTTTTTCTGGTTGGTAATTTTTTTATTAATATGATTTAATTTGAAGAAGAAAAACAAAACGAAAAGAACAAGTAATAAAAAATTTGGTTTATTGGTGAAAATTAATTCATGATTGACTAATTAATGCAATAATTTTCATATTCCTCATGTGTTCGCTTTTTTTTTTCGCTGTAGGAATTAAAATATTGAAATTGAATTGAAGGAATTGAAATTAGAGAAATGAATATAAATTATGTTGTGAGATTAATGGTATTGCTATTGTTTGCTATGCTGTGCCACCTATTTACATGTGATGGTTGGAAATCAAAATGTGATCAATTGGAAGTTGAAAATTTTCCACCCTTTGTATGGAATTTATCACGAAATGGGACAGAGGATTACTGTAATTTGTATGAGGAACAAACAAATATTTCCAGATGTCAGTTTCATTGTATGTTACAAAAATTTGGTAGAAAATATAACATTTTGGTAAGTTATTTATTATGATTGTCTCATTTACTAATTATTTATTATTTTATTTCACCTATTGATTATTTATTATTATTATCAATTATTTCATCTCTTTATTGCATACTACTATTAATTATTTCATTTGCTAAATTTCACTTTTTAATTTAAAATTAAATTGAAGAAAAAATGAGAATAATTTCAATTAAATACAAATCTGAAGTTTATATATATAAAGGATTAAATTGCTACAATTTGAAAATGAAATAGTGTCGCTAAGCATATAATATTAATTATTCTTTATTAATTTTTATATTATTAATAACAAATAAAGTTGTGCAAGATTATCAACAAATTAAATTCAGATCTTTTAAAAAAATTTTTTTTGATTGATCAGTGATTAAAATATGCGAAATTAGCAAACAATGGAACACTAATTTTGTAGAAATTTTTTACGTAGAATTTTTTGACAAATTAATGATAATTAAAATAATTGCTTATAAATAAGCGAATGAGGGAGAAAGAAAGCAAGAGAAGAATGTGAAAAAAATGTTGCTTAGCATTGAAATTGAAATCTAATTTGAAATATATTAATATATTTTAGGAATCAGTCAATAAATTCATTGGTGAAGAAATGATTTATGAAAATGAACGAAATGAAATACTTACTAAACGACTTCAAAATATTAATGGTACTGTTAAAGCTAAGAAATTTCTTTTTGAAATATTAAAACTGCAACAAAATATGGATTTTCCACTGGTGAAAATTCAACAGCTTATCGATAATATCACAACTGAATTATCAGTGCAATTACAACAAGAAGCAGTCAATTTATGGAATGCCATATGTCCTGATAATATCAATAATAAATGCCCATTAAATATATCATAATATTTTTTTTAATAAGGTATAAGAAGTAAATCAACGTAAAAGAGGTATTATTTCTAATTATTATCATTTTTCATACATTTAATTGAAAAAAAGGAAAACTTAACATGAAACAATGATATATTATTTATAATTTTTTTCTTTTCAATTGATAATAATTTAAGAAATAGTTAATGAGTGAACACAGTGTTGATGAAAATTAAGATGTAATTGATGTTCGAATGTTTTTTGACACATTTGACAGCGATAAATATTACATTGCTGTTGTTTTTGTTGTAGATGCTGTTGTTGTAGTTGCAACTGCAGCTGCAGTTGCGTTTGTTCTTGATGAGTTCTGCGTACGTGACTATCATGCGCTGCGTGTGATGCAAATGATTTACCACAATTAGCACACTATAATTACAATTTACAAATATAATGGAATAATGAAAATTGATTGAATATTATTAAAATTAGAAGCAAAACAACAAATACATTTACAATGCATAGCAATTGTAATAAATAAATAATCTAAAATAATAAAAAAACTTACTCAGTTAATTAAATTAACTGATGGATAAATTAAATGAAAAAAAATCCCAAAATCTAAATTTAAAACTTTGTTTAGATTTTTTTGCACTGTTCTATCTCTTATTATTTATTGTAATTAATAAAAAAATTAATTTAACAGGAAATTAAATTATTACTCGTCTTTAACTATATCATAATATAAATGCGATTTAAGAAGAAAGAATAATACACATACCTGAAAAGGTTTTTCGCCGCTATGTTGACGTACATGCGTACGAAGAATACTGCTTGCCGTGAAACTTTTACTACAAAAAATGCATTTGTATGGCCGTTCACCGGAATGCACTCGGAAATGCTAAAAATAAACTACTGCGAAAGGTTTTCTTGAAATTTGAATTAGAACGTGTTAATTCTCTTAAAAATATTACTTGAAGCAATAATTTTTTTGCATTTATTTCGGTTAAATAATTAAGTTTTAAGTTACTTCATTTTTCCTTTCGAAAGGAAGTCGCTTGGAAACTTCATTTTTTATTGACCGATTGAAGTATTAATTTATTTTCATAAAATGGAACTTAAATTGTATTATTCAGTTTAATCAAATCAACTATTTTGGGAAGTATTATTGAACAAAACAAAGAAAATTATTTTATGTCTATTGGAATCATATGAAACATAAAGTTCCATTATTTTTTAAAATATTAAAAAAAAAAAAAAAAAAAGGAAAAAATAAGCTATACTTTGTTGAGACTTGATGATTGAGAAAATGATTTACCACACGTGGAGCATACGTGAGGTCGATGATTTTCATGCACATGTAATACATGAATTCTTAATCGATCACGTTTCTCGAATGATCTATATTTTTGTTATTTTCATAAAAAATTACTTTAAAAAACTAGAATTAATAAAATTTCATCAAATGATAAAAACAAAATTTCCTTTTCAAATAATGTAAAAATTTAACTACAAATAAAAATTTTAATTTAAACATAAATTAATTATAAATAACCGTGGACAAATGGAGCAACGAAATTTACGATCACCGTGATCAACACATCGTGTATACTTGAGATGTTTTTCACGATAATATTCATAAGTAAACATTTTACCACAACGATCACATTTATAACCACCAATGTGCTCTATAAGTTTCCTTATTAATTTTATGATTTAATTTTGTTGTTTATTTGTTTTATTACATACCGAAATAATAATAATAAGACGTATTTAATAAGCATTGAAATAATTATGTGCGAGGTATAGTGACACATCTTAGTAAGTGCCAGAAAAATTATTTATGAGGCCATATTGATATTCTATCATTTGTTATCATCATGATCAATTATGATTACCTTAATTATCTTTCTTTCGTCTGTGTCATTATTATTTAAAATTTAAATAGCGTTTACTAAAATAATAGGGAAAGGTCATCTTAGTTTCTTTAGTATTTTAATAGAAAGATAAATTAGGTATTTAATTTATTTTTGTATATCTATTACAAATGTTAGTTTCGTCAGTAAATATTAAAATTGGAAATCTAAAGTTTTAAACATATGTAATGGTTTACTAATCATTAATCGATTGATTAATTGCTATGAAAAATACATTAATGAATTTCTTTTTTTTTTTGAATATCAGATTTATCTATCACAAAATTTTCTTATCGATATTTACATTGATCGAAAAATTTAATGTCAAATTGTTAAGTGCATTATGTATCACTTTTTGATTAATGTAAGACAGAACTATAAGTAATGCAGACACACCCATTGTCCAATAGTAGTTATAAAAGACTGTAACGTATATTTGGCTTAAATGTAATATTGGCACTTGAAATGGGTTCTAAACAAGTACTTGAAATTGGCCTAAATTGGTGCTTGAAAATGAAGAAGAAGGGAAGTCATAAGTTGATGTTATAAGTTGTTACTGAATTAATACCATTTCTACTTTTTACATCATATTAGCTACTAACAGCGACAATAATAAAAAAAAATAACAATTATTAATAACAATAATAATAATAATAAATAATAACGATAATAATAATAATAATAATAATAATAATGTACGATTTACGATTACTAAAAAAAGAACAGGATAAAAAATACACAATTTTAAATAAAATTTCTTAGTAGATATCAAATAATAATGAAATATAAACCTGTATGAGTTAATCCTTGCTGTATCATTTCCAGTTGTTGGCCCTCTTTATCATTCTGAAGCATTTTGCTTGGCTCAAGGGTCAATGTTTCAGGCTCATTACAAATAATTATTTCTTGACCAAATTCAATAGGGCGAAGAACAATTCCATTCCAAATATTAGCTTCCTCCTTATTTGCTGTTTTACACAATGATTGCCATTTTGATGGTATCTAAATAATCTTTTAGTACTAGCAATATGATACTTCATTCAAGATTGTCTTTAAAGTTAACAATAAACTAAAATAATGAAGCACAACAATAGAAATAGAGTAAATACAGAAGGAAACGCTATTTAAAAGTCATAGTTTATACAAAAAATAGTAGTAATAAGTAACTAACACTTAATTGATCACCCCTATTGAAACCATTCGGTGCTGAGCAGAATATCACGTGAAAATATCGTCCAGCACATGCGAAGCATATTAGTAAGACATTATCACAATATTCTTTGCTTGATAAGATATCTTTTATTACTATAAAAGTATGCAAAATTCTTTTTATTCTTAATCATTGCTTATTATTTCAAGTATTCGAATTAAAAAAAAAAAAACACTTAGTTCTCATACAAGATTGACATTTATTATTACCAATACTTATTTCATTAATTAATAGTTGATATTGTTCATACAATTCAAAAATTACCATCACTAAAATTATTTCCACCTAGTAGTTAATAAAAATATAAGCGTTTAAAGAGTTCGCAAATAGTAGCACACACAACATTCTGATTCCATTAATTTACAATTCTCTCAATTCTCTGATAATTAATGGTAATGGTTATAGTATATTTATACTGATATCTACTTAAACCACACGCAGCAAATTTGTCTTGATTATAATAATATGATGAAAAGTGATTAAATTTATAAGTGTATATAATTTTAACATATATTCATGTAATGCAAGTGTAAAATAGGATTGCAATAATACTAAACAGCACTTAATATAGCAGGAGCACTGTATAGTTAGGATACGGTATAGTATGATACTGCATATAACGAATGAACACTGGATAGATTTAACATGAAAGAAAAGATTTCAAATCATACCGGTTTCATTTGAAGTTAATTGTAATTGAAGGTTAACCATTTGGAGTTTATCACCACGTATTAGTGTAACAGGAAATGGTATTGTTGACATAAAAAGATCAGTTGGAAGAAGTGAAGGTAGTGTTAAAGTTGATGGTGATGATGATGATGATGATGATGATGGTAGTGGTGCTGATATATTATTTGATAATGTTCGTTCAGCAAACGATAACGAAGTCTGTGATAGAAATGGAAAGACAGGATAAACTGACGAGAAATTCTTGAACCATGTTGGTTGCACACTACCATTATTATTACTATTATTATTATCATGTTTATTTTTATTAATATTATTACAACCATTGTTATTGTTACCATTATTATTACTATTATTATTCTCAAATGGTGAAATAAATTCCGATGATTGAATTGGGTACATGATATTGTTGATGTCAAAGATAATGATGATGATGATGATGTCACAAGTAACACTTTTATGACTAGTCACCACGCTATAACTGCTGCTGCTATTGCAACTACAGTAGGATCCTTTAATAATATGATAGAAATTGTTTGGCAGTAAATCCTCTTTTTATCCCTTTCTTAGCAATTCTTTATTCCCCCGACAATGCGGGTGGAGTTAGCAGTCATCATTGGATGACAACTGTATCTGATATATCAAAAAGACAAGATTTAATCTGCGTTTAAAGTCTTACTACACACCATTATTATTTTCCTTTTCTTCATTCCTCTCAAAAAAATGAGAGAGTCCTACCAATATCATCAAATAGATTTATTCTAGAATGCTACAGTAAACCTAAATAAATGAATTGGAGAATTGGTTAGAAAAGAATGAATTCAATAATCATTATCTATCTATCTATCCGATCTAATTTAATCTATTTACCTATATAAACACATTATTTACTTAGCTGAAATAGTAGATATGAAAAAATTTGGAATTATGCAGATAAATACCACAATGAGATATTTTAGCCTAAAGCATTCATTTTATTCTAATCTAACTTATCCATTAAATATAGCTAACATTATTGCACTAACATATTCCGTCCGATTACTAACTAACTGGATAAGCAAGCTCATCAGAGTAAATGTCAATTGAGAAAATTTAATTAACTTTTAGAGGAGAGATAGTGAATTGAGTGCTATTTTCATCTAATTTACTGGATAATACAATAAGGTTACATTACAATATCCTTATCTCCATTCTCTAATTACATTCATTCAATTATCATTTCTATTAGCAAAGTAAAGCTTCCATTTGTATTGTTCAATTACCAGTCTGTTGACCTTCAACCCTCTGTTTTTCAACTATCCATCTTGTATTATTTCCTTGTCTTCTTTTATCTCCCTAATGCTCTATTTCATAAAAATTTTCCAAACAAATCTTTGACTTTACAGTATATAATTTCATGCAATTAACAGAAGTCTCCCTATCATTTTAACTTCTAAAAATGTTGAATGAACTTGTCATTTTTATCACTATCTAATCGATTTCTAACAAACTTCATATCAATGTTTTACATTTAAAACTATAAGCAATTAAAAGATAACAATTCAGCCATTTCTTCTTCTATCACTATTTCTTGAACATATTTTTGTTATTTCAATGACAATTTTATGTTGAAAATACTTCATTTTTTTTTTTTTTTTGAAATTAATTTAAAATGAAATTCATAGAATTAAACAAATGTATAATTGAGCGATGTATTTTTATATATTCATTTCTTTCTTTTCCTTCTTTTTCATTTTTTATTAATCAAATTGAAATATTATTATGTTATAATTTTCTGCCAAATAATTTGTACACAAAAGATTCTGCCAATAATGAAAAATAAAGAATAGAAAGTTGATAGATATGCGTGAATACCTGTAATTTTTACGTCATCATTAAATTATTAAATAAATGAAATGGTATGTATAATAATGTAAGATGATAATTAATTATCATAAAATTATGCCACCATCATTCTTCGACGATTTGATTAATTAGTTCTATTACAACCTAATTATTTCAATCCTCAAGTGTTAATTAATTTTTCTTTAATTTTTTAATTCGTTTTTACGTTAAAAAAAAATTTCTGGGAAAAAGTCTTGTACAAAGATAGTAAGAAAAAGATGAAAATCTAATTAAGAAGTGTTTAATTAATTGGATTAATATACAAACCATATTTTCATCATTATCTGCAGTTAATAACTGTAATGTGATAAATTCAATTGCTGTATAAAAAATAACCAAAAGTATATAAGGAAAAGTTAAACCAAACAGCATTCCAATTAGTATATGGCCAGAAAAACTACCACCGGTTGTAATTACGAATAACAATGAATAGTCACTTAAAAACAAAAGAAAAAAAGACTTTACTTCCTTTCTTTCTTTGTTACTTATCTTTAAAAATAATAAAAAACTTACTTGCTTTTTTCTTTTTTTAAATAGCCACTTTGATTATCACACCTAGTACTAGTAATAATAACAGTAGCAGTAGAATCGAAATATGTTTACATCAGAAAAAAGTTATCCATTTTAATCGAAATAGAACAAAATATTACTTTCTTAATGTTGATTGAATCAGTGGGGCAATAATACCAATAAAACATGGTGTCAATGCGGTAAATGGTGGCAAACTATGAAGTGTACGATTCGAGAGTGCATATCCTGTTAATAAACCCTACAAGTAATTTATTTAATAAAAGTTTCATATATAAGCTATTAGCCTCATTAGTTGTATATACATATTTAAATATTCTTGGATGCCATTTCTTACTTCAATCATAGCAAGTGTAAGTAACACGTGTCGCAGTATTATATCATTCCACGCATATTTTTTAGCTGATAATCTGTTTATATAATGATATGTTATCAATGGTAAAAGAACATAGGCAGAAATAGTAGCCATAAAATCACTGAAATAATAATTATTGTGTCAATCATTTATAAATAAAATAAACACATTTAATGACTTTTCAAAAGTTTTATTAGTTGAGAAATATGAAAACAGTTTATCTGTGATAAGAAATTATCACTTAAATCTGCTTACACACATAACTGAATGAATGAAAGGAAGATGAAATCATTGCTTGCATTAAATTTAATATTTAATAAATAAAGATTAACAGTTAATAAGTAGTTTTAGATTAGATCAAAAGTATTACTTATTTTACCTAATAATTTGTCTAATTAGGATTGAAAAGAAAATGCAGAAAGGGCTGAGAAAATAGAATGTGTTAAGAGGAGAAGTGCAGTCCATACAAATGTTTACATTATCTTTTCAGCATCATATTTTACAGATTTCACACTGAATACTGTATACAATAGTTTTGACTTCTTTTTATGCATTTGCGGTTGAAATTCTTTAAATTTTTGCTGATAATGTTGAATCTGTAAAAACAAACTATTTACAATTGCAATAGTTATCCTTATCACTTAGATTTCCTTTGAGACTGAAACATTATTATCTGCATTCATTGATTGAAATAGTAATTTTTTTTTAACTGAATTTAATATTTTGTTAAAACTAATACTGTTATCAACCTCACAAAGTTAAAATTATCAATATGGTAATACTGCAAGTCTTGAAATTTTAAAAATGTATTTGTTTTAGTTAAATTCGTAAACAGCATGTACAAATACAAATGTTCATTGAAGATTAAAGAGAAGTTGAACAGTGAAATAAATTTACAAAAATTATTGCTGGAGAATTTCTGATACGTTATTGTTTCATATCCTATACTCTTAATACGATAATATACGATGTGGCTTAAGTGGAACCACCTTATCCGGTTAATAATGTAAGATATCAGAAGCGTAACCACTACTTCCTAGTGACAATCACTTCACATGTAAAAATACTCGCCAACTTCGTTATCAAATTATATAGTACAAATGACAGGTGTATACACTCCCTCTTCCTGTCACTTCCTCTCAAACTCCTGCTTATTCATTTTGTTAATACTGTAGCAGTATTATATTACCTGATTGTCAATTTCCATACGAAGACGAGTTTGAATGCAAAGCATTGCATAATCATCAGACATTTCAGTTTTATATTGTCCAAATAATTTCTTTAAGATTTCATATTGTTTCTTAAATTGGATAAGTTTATAAAATTTACACTATAAGGAATTAACAAATGGTAAAATGTGTCACAATCCAATTGATACAGATGAACCACACAATGTACGAGAACTGAACAACAATGGAAAATAAATTATTGTAATCAGTATTTTTAAACTTTATGGTAAGCTTGCACTATTATAAATGAAAATACTAATATTTCAGTGGGAATATGCGAATCATATCTTGACACAAAAATCATGGAAATAATTTAACAAATGAAAAAATTACTCGTTTCTTTTTCTGCCCATACAGAAACTCCAGGAGGGCAAATTATAATTGCAATTGTAGAAATGAAAAAAAAAAAAATCCGCAAGCATTAATTATTTATGCCCTTCATTTGACACAAAACTGTAAATAGACCTTTTTACTTCTTTTTATCTAGCAAGAAATCAAATATGTGAAAATCTGCGTCATTTTTATCGTACATATAGTAAAATAATAAATTAGATTTTAACTCTCGATTTTTCCGATTTTTTCTCTGTTGCTTTACGAATTGCTTTTTCTTGAGCCTATAGAAAACAGTTATGACAAAAAATATCTTAACTTGAAAAAAAAAACCCTGCAAATTCAAGAGAAAAAAATTTTTGAACATGAAATGGAAATACTACCCGAAACAGGTACTGGTTTAAGTAGCATGCTTCAAAAACTTTGATAAATCAGTATATAAATAAAAAGTAAAATAAGTCAGCAATAAATGAAAGGTAAACAAAAATACAAAATTACCTCTTGCACCAGTGGTACCAGCCTGCCTTCTTTAGCTAATACCTTTAACATCTCGACAATAAACGGTATGTAATTATGGCGACGTCTAATATTTTCTGCTTTGAATGATTTCTCCTTTTCTTCCTCAGCAGCAATCAGTGCCTGAAGATGATTCATTTCTTCCACTTTATTATCGGTCTCCATCGCTGACTGAAAAACAAAATATCTGGAAGATCCGAATTTTAACAAAACGCGAACAATTGAAATCACAAAAAGGTACAACCTCCCATAAGATTGAGCATTTTATACTACCAGAGGAGTTGTAAAGATTATTGAACACTGAAGTAAGCAAATATTTAACGCAACTAATCACAAAAATATCGTATACAAGAACAGAAACATGATTCTAACCGCAGGAAAATTACCTCGGCGAGTTCGGCTAAACGTTTTTGGTATTTCATTTTTCGATCCGAAATAACAGCCATTAGATTGAAGTGAATTTCACCTGCGCTATACCTTAAAGTACTTTATGATTGAAGATTTTACTACAAAGAATAATATGATTCTAGTGGTAATAGTACTATAAGCACTGCGTTTCAACAATAAGCTATTGAAGATAAACTTTTACTTTCGGATCCTAGCATTGATGATTGGCCGCACAGCATCCAACCAATCTTCACCTTCTCTAATAGCACCCAAATCCAGAGGTGCCTCACGAAGACCATCCAATTCATAGATATGACCATCCACAGGTATGTACGTGATGAAATGATAATTATCCTCCTGAATACTAGGATATTTTTTTAAATAATATTTGCAATAAGATCTTTATAAAACATGACTAAACTCCCAACTACTATTGGCAGCAACAACTTCAGCATTTCTACATAAGGATTCAATTCAGCTCATACACAAAGATGTCAATTATACAATTTTCCTGATTTACCATATTGCAAGTACAAATAACAACAAACCTTTTCCGGAGCTTTAATATCCAGTTCAAAAAGATGTTGCCGTGAAAAACTGTTATGGACTTTCCTAATTGGTTCGCTGTTACCTAGACATAAACCACGATTCTGAAAGTGGATAACCATAAAATTCTAGAAATGCAACTCTAAAAATAAACCAACATACTCCTATTTTCGCATGTGTATCATATAAAATTTCACAAGTAATAGAATAAACCAAAAGAAATATATGCCCCTATATTGGTAGTTCTTTAAATTATAAACCAAAATCTTAGAATAAAAAAAAATAATTTTGCTTCAAAATTCTGCAAGAAACGCTGTTGGAGTTCCATAAGAATCAAAAAGTATTTCCACACAGTTGGATACTCAAGAAAGTCATAAACAAACATGAATTCGGTATTTCTAAATGAAAACTTTTTCATGTAAAATTTGCGCTGCTTATTATGAATTTGATACAGATATAGATATTTTGGAATACCGAAAATGTAATATGGCCTATACCGTATAGTGCAAATACTAACCATAGGGTCAAAATTTTGCGTGAAACTTTTAAATTCTTCCAGAATTGGACCAAGCACGATACCTGATTCTGTCTTTGTATTTAGTAGTAAATTTATTAATGCTTGTGTAGCACAAGCATTCTGGATCACCTGCAGTGTGAAATCGGTTACATATCAATATAAGTGCACATCAGTCACCTACTATCGTTTCAGCAACATCAGTAATTAATGGTAATCAATACAACCAACGCTATTGGTATCCGAGCTTATCTACTGAGAAAAGATAGTGGGAAAGTACACTTTTAGTTTCGTATATACAAGAATTTTAAAACGATTCAGAGAAATATTCTACTACGTTAATAAGTAAATGGATTACTTGTTGTGCAAAGAAAACTCGATTATTGTCGAGGACCAAGCTTCCACATGGTTCTTCACCTGCGCGCCATTTAAATAAGAATATCAACCCATGAACCGGTCTAAAATTATAAACCAATAAACTAAAAACAATAACTAATCAAAATGCTTTCAACAGACAGAATTAGATCCACATACTTCAGATCACTGAATAGCTGCTTATCTAGACTATAGAGTTCTTCAACTTGCACACCAGAAACACCAAATCCACGAATCAGTTCAGTGAAAACACCTGGATCAGATTCAATTAGGCACCAGTTTCCAGCATCCGACATGACCTATAATAAAATCGACCAATAATCGTACCAATAAAATCTCCGACAGTACCGTAAGCCATGTTCAAAGTAAATATAAAAGTGAACTGTAAAATCATATGGAAAAAAGTATAAACAACATCTATACATGATTTATTGATGTCCAAAAGCATTCAATAACATAGCGATATCTTAATAAGGAAAAAATCGACCGGAATGCAATAACAGACGCCTCATCCTGAGCCGAAGTAACATCAAGGAGAAGAGTATTACGAAAGAAAGGACATACATTGATTCCCAAAGACTGAGGTAACATTACCAGTTATGTTGACGCAACATAAATCAGTAAATTCATAGAAATAAATCGATCTCTTCCTTAAAACATTAATTACGAACAAATCACAAACACATTCGGTTTATCAAAAACATATTTGCAGACACCACTTATTCAATCGCACGATCTCATTTATATCAAAAGCTCTTATCAATTCGTCCAATTCTCATAATCTTTAAAATCGTCATACGAGTAGCATTATCGATCTAACATTTTGAATTAAACGAGTAATGTTATGATGCATCACAGAGCAGTTCTAAAGACTACGTATTAATATCAGTAACTGCAATAACCATATAACTTAGAGCACTGCACACTTTTATTTCTGACATAAGTCTGCAAATGTCAAAAAAAGAAGATATGAAAGTAGATAAACATAGAGACTGCTTCAAGATTTTGTATTTTTCTCCAATTTCTCCTGACATGCTCTGAAATCAGTAAAACTATACAACATCAAACATCAATATATATATGATTCTTTGAAATGAAAGAAAATTTGTTCGTACATTGTAAAAAAAAAGATAGTGCTCTGAAATGAAACAGCAGACATCCGAAATACATCTTATCCTGTGACCCTATTTGTGCTTTATCAATGAAGTAAAAGAAAATTTAACATTGGATAGTCAGAAATGACGACGAATATATTGCTAGACAAGTAACTGTCTAGTGTTCCATTCCTTAACTGAAATCTTATTTCAGTAAAACATTTTTTACACGGAGTGAAAAAAAATATATCACGGTTCCTCATTTTAGGTACATATAAATGATCAATACGTTTTAAATAAAATCTTACTTTTTAGCTTTTGCTGGACAATATTCCTTATGTTTTCGGCAATGGTGATGCCGTAAATGATGTTTACACTTATATCGATTACCACCATGTTTCCGCTTTTTGTCACTAGCATAACTGGACCTTGCAGTAGATTTTTCTCTTGATCTGCCCCTAGAATATATAAAGTAGATATTTTTAATAATCAGTAACCACTTTTTTTTTTTTTTTTTTTAATAATCAGCAACCAATATATATTATACAAAAAAATCCAATCGCCATATATATTTACAGAAACAAATATGCAAAGAAGTAACTCTCAAAAAAAAGTAATCAGATCTGATACGTACAGCAGTTTGGATAAGCATATCTTCATGCTAACAATGGAAAGTTTTTGTTTTAGAAAATCTAATCTTTGGGAAAAACGATTAACTCATGTTTTGGTCACATCCAAAAACAGAAAAAATACTATATTATCTGCGCTTATCTTATGGTAGTTAATACTATAATGTTATAACGATTAGACTATTATTGTTGTAATGATTAGATTTACTGACCTGGAATCTCGCCTCCTTTCTCGAGATCGTCCTCTAGTCCTATCTCTATCTCTCTCTCTGTCACGTTCACGGGATCTCTCTCGATCCCTGTCTCTGTCTCGGTCCTTCGACCTCTCTCGCAATCGGTCTCGTGATCTGCTTCGACTTCGATGTCTTTCATAATCACCTTCCCGATCTCTGTATTAGAAAATTCATTATTCTCTAAAATGCAGCAAATTCAAATTTATTCCGAAAACCAACAGTGAGAATGTTTCTTTATATAAGAAAAGTTAAGAAAGAAATATCAAGAGCAAAACCTACCCATGTTCTCGTTGATAATCTAGTTTCGCTTTCTCTCGAAATTTCAATTCAATTTCCTTCTGCAAATCCATGAAACTTTTATCTTCAGTCCTTCATATAAATAGACTAGATAAAACTAAACAAATGGGTTAATGGGTTAACCTCAGTGTTGTAATATGAAGCACTCCACCTCTCAATAATTTCCATGCAAAGCCCTACACTGCAGATTTCCCATGCTCCTAAAACATCTCCACCTTGCCTTTAGGTCTTACAGTATTCAGATGATATGCAATACATAAATAGGTTCAGCAGAGGAAATCCGCTGTTAATTTAATTTATACCTGAATTGGAACAGGGATTCGCGGAAATAGTGTACCATACCAGTCCAGTTTAGTTAACATCATCTTTACAACTTGTGCCATTACCATTACATCACCACCACCAGAACGTGGATCGATTTGTTCCTCATCATCCTAGAAAAAGACGGAACCTTAGCAACAACAATTTTTTTTCTTTTTAAAGTAATTAAATTGCTGTTTCAAAACCAGTGTTTTGTTAGCATGATAGAGAGTGTCGAGAATCCTAACAGGATCCAGGAAGCAAACACAAACTCAAACAAATGAAAGCAAAGTCCTTTCAATATAGGATTTTTTTTTTAAATATTTTAGTGAATACCGATCACTAACACTTACCAAATACGGTTCCATCCAGGCCCATAAATCTTGTGGTGGTTGACAAAATCGGATGTACATGAATCCAATACCTCGTATGTACGGTGAATCGCTGTTGTTAATCATACTAACTAGCTGTTTCCTAAAATTCTGCGACAAATCAAGCGTACTTTGAAATGCTTAGCAATAGCATCCAGTGTTGAAAAAACCAGAGCTATAGCAACAATTACCAACTTACATTGTCTCATTGAACATTACTAACTTACAGTTAACAATGTTCAGGATAATTTAAAATGGCATACTTATTGCTTAGCCACAAAATGCTACTGCACATATGTTATATATTAAATTACAAGCAAAAACGTACTAAATGCGCAAGGCATCTTAAAATATACCATAAAACAGTTGCAGATGAAAATCCACTGAAAAAATGAAATATTTGCAATGACTTGTCACAAAAATAAACGCAATCGTAACTCACTATTAAATCCATACCTGGAGAGCCGAATTGTAAAAAGTTTATAAAGAAGACAGAATGCCGTACTCACCACTCCACCAGCACCAACACCTCGTACCTAGAGGTTAACTTGCGTATATAAGATGATTATTTTTACTATAGTTTATTAAGTTCTCAATTAAAGAAGATGTAGAATACCAGGAAAAGAAGGAATACCACTTAAGCGACTGACCCCGCCGCACATGCCGGTCATCCCTTGTGTTTTTCGTGTACCGCGCTCCCACGGTTCGAGATGCTTCACCTGAAATAAAGTTAGTAAGTAGGAAAAGTGTCATTACTATAAAATCAAAAACTACCACGTTATGCCAGAAACCGTAATCTTCATATATAGAATTGCAGTTACTCAAATGTCAATGAAAACAGAAAAGATAGAGGAATATTCTACTTCACACATGTTAAAACACAAAACAACTTACACTGTAATAAATTTCCTCTGTAAGCTGTTGAAATCCTGTAGTTTCCGCAAGGTAATTTTTGTAATAAGTGCACTGGATAATATTTTCCAATACCAAAGCATTTAAATTCATCGTTTGCGTATTGCCCCACAGTGGCAAAATGTTGTTCTTCTTTGTTATCTTCTATAAAATATGATGGAGTATCACGAACCAAATTGGCATCATAAATGGAAAACATGTACTACTATGCAAAATATTAATAAATAAAGGAAATGTACTGTAAAAAAAGGAATAACCTGACTTTTGTTCGATGGAACGATAATCAATCTTTAATAAATCAAGCGTATGGTTTACCTGTTAAACTACAAGACTAAAAGACAAACCTAGCTAATATACCATAGGGATGGTAGATACATTAAAGTTAGTAGATGTATTAAAATATATCAGCTAAGTATCTAACCATTTAAATAAAGTACACCTATATTACTACCTACAATTAAAAGTAAACCTACACATAAACTTTTATATTCACGTGCCCCTACCAGTTGTCTATTCATCTCTTCCACTGAAAGACATAGCATAACTTGATGACTTATATTCTAACAAATAATGAAGTGAAGTGCACCTGTATATCCGGAATACTATTATCCGTTAGATCATCCTCATACATTACGTCGGTACCACCAGTACCAAGTCCTGCGATAAGCAATGCAGCTGCGCCACCATCCGCAGCTGACATATTTCCACCTTAATGTTTTTCATTTGCTAGTAGAAAAAAAAAAAAAAAAAAATGCATCACTCTGAACTCTTATCACACTAATCTTTGTAAAATGTACCAAAAACGTAGTATTAAACTATTGCTTAAAATTCTTTTAGAAAAATCTCCACATCCATGTTTAGCAACTCCACCACACCTAATCAAACTGCCTCACATAACTTTAATTGTTCACATCCTACAAAACGTCGCTCATGGCTACGTCACCTACAATCACATCACCAGATTCGCCATTGTGTCATGACTATTCAATGAAATGAAAAAGTTGGGCGATATGAAATCGCTTGGATCATGTCCGAGCAGATATTTATGTTTCAGCAGATATTGAAGGGGAAAAAAAAAATTTTTTTTTCACTCTTGTGATAGATATTCGAGTAAAACAAGTTTCACCTATATAAATCTATGAGAAAATTTAGAGAAAAAAGGAATATTTTTTTATTCATAAATTTGAGGAAGTATGAATGAATTGTTTACTGACATTAGGGAATAATCAAAAAAAAAAAATTAATCAAATAAAATACATTATTTCTTGCAATTAAAAATGTTGGCAATAAGAAATTTTGAAAAAAGAATGCAAATGCTGTTTAATTAAATGTTCATGAATTCTATCTTTTTATTTGTTTTAATTCAAATTTTCAGTTTCATAATTTTTACTTAATGAAGGAAATAGTACTATTCAATATTGAGACTTATCCGCGTCTTCTTTTTTTTTTTTTTTTAAAAAAAAAAAAAAAAAAACCCTATTATTTTGCTTCTGTGCAAATCTACAGTTAAAACAACCTTAAAATTATGTTATGAAAGAAAAAAAATATGAAACTAATATTGAAAATTATACCAATAATTTTTTTTTTATATTCTTTGTACATTAAAACAAACATTATTTTTTTTATAGTATTTAATTTGGTAATAAAATTTCGTTCTCAAATTAAAAAAAATGAATTTTTGAAAAAATAGGTATAGCACATTAAACTTTCCAATTGCTATAGCATATGTAATAGTTACACAACTTCTACTTAAATACTTTACAAGTTTAAGCCAGAAAAGTTCATCAGTTTACTTGTGTGCTATTTGAAACCAAAATAATTAATAATTTATGAATGCTCTCATTTTTTGCTTCTTTGTTTTAAACCAATTTTACTCTTCTACTTTTATAATCATTACTTAATTATTTTGTATCCTTCACCCAGTTACTCATCATTTTCGCCCAATAACTTTAAAACCTTTACACAGTTAATTTATAACAATAATCGAATTATATTTTGTGTGATAATTCATATAAAATAAAAATTTAGCAATATAATTAAATGCATACCAAAAAAAGAATTTTTCTTTTTGGTACTTTTGTATTTTTTGGATTTTTTTTTTGCCCTTCTTCAACCTTTTGCTCCTTTCTCATTTTTTAACTGACAACAACCATTGATGATTCATAAAACGATTCATATCTATGTAACGCCACATTTTGAAAATTAAAGAAAGTACACGTTCTCTCTCCTATCTTCAAATTTCGTTAACTTTTTCATTTCCTTACTATGTTTTACTTTCTATGTCTCTCCTATTTTATCTATTCGTTATATTTGAAATATTTACCAATTAATTTTTTTTCCGTTCAATCAGTTTATATTGTCAATCTTTCTTCTTTTTCTCTCTTCTCTTCCTCCCTTACTGTGCTTTTCCTTTGCAGTTTTATTCTTTCTTGTTTATAGCCAGCTAGCTCACAACATTGCAGCTATTTTATTTCACTACAAAAATTTACTAAACTTCAAGTTAAAATAAATTTCGATGGTAAGCTGTTAATTAACTTTTCCTTTTTGTAATCATAATAGCTCTCTCTCTCTCTCTAATTACTCCCCCAATAATTTTACTCATATTTGTTAAAGAAACTTTGCAATAATTGAATTCGGTACCTCCGGAACTGATGTATTCAAATTTTAAGTAAGTAGGCTAAAACTATTGTAACTTGTTGTCAAATTTGTTTATATCACTGATTAATGATTATTTTCAGCAATTTTTTGAAACTATTTTTTATGATAAGACAAAAAAAAAAAAGCATGATAAAAAGTTTTGTTTCGGGAAAAAATCTTTATATATTGCGAAAAGTGCGAAAAGAATGCGAAAAGCTTATAAATTTATCCCACGTTGTAAGTCCAAGAATAATATAAGAAAAATTTGAGTTCTCCGATCAATTTTTAACTTCGAAAGATATATATATATGACATTAAATTGATTTAAAAAAGAATTTTTTTTAAAAAAAAAAGAAAAGGAAAAAATTTTTTCTACTAGTATGAATAAAGCTTTATTCTTTCATGTATTAATGTGACGTTTAATCAATCCATTAAACTGATTTCGTCTTTTTTTTCGAAATGATAAGAAATAGAAAATATATTTAATATAATAGTAAAGAAAACAAAAAAACTAAATATTAATAATCAAAAATTTAAAATTATTTAGATGAAAAAAAAAAAACTGATTGATTTAAGTTGAGATGTGTTATTTTTCACATAAAATATTTCATTAACTCTTAATATTTCATTAAATGTTGCATTAGATCAAATATTTCATTACATACATATTAGAAATAGATAGTCTTTTACTAATTAATAATTATTTCTTATTAATAAATCAATATTTTATCAAATTCAAGTTTAGTCTTTGTTTTTTCTTTTTATCAGTATTCTTGTTTAGGCTCATCCAGGTGACGCAGCTATTCCAGTTCCATACATTTCAAAACTTGGTGCTAAATTGCAGCCTGGTCAAACACTTGTCATTCACGGTAGTATCGAAAATGATGCATCTGAGTAAGTGATAATAATCACAGTGATAAAATGCGTTATCATGCTTAATGTTATGAAAGAAAACAAATTAACAGAAAAAAAAATCGAAAAAAATATCGTTTTGAAATTATGCTAATTCCTGTCAAAAAAATGAATGACTTTTCAAATGTATCTTCAAACAACTAGTATTGATATATTACTGGATCAAGTTGTATATTTTTTGTTTAAACATCTTATTTGCAAATGCTGATGCATGAATGAATTTTCTCAAAAATATACTTTTTAAATTAACAACTTATTCAGGTTAACTATATAAGTAATAGTAGTTTATAAACTTTTATCAGTAACACTAAAAAAAAAAAATTAAATAACATTAATTTGTATCATATTACGTAAGATGTAAATAGAAAATTTTAATAACAATTTTATCCATTCATATATATTTATTGATATCAATAAATAATTTTATAGATTTGAAGTGAATTTGTTAAATGGCTCACCAAATATCGAATCATCAAAAGCTACCATTTTTCATATAAAAGTTTATTTTAAGGAAAACAGATTGGTTTATAACACTTACGAGGTTTGAAGTTTATCTCTCAATGAAAATTTGCATCATTTTTTAGAACTATAGGAAAGAGATGAAACGTTTAGAACATTATATAATAAAAGTTAATTTGAAGTGTAATTCTTAACATATTGAATTTAAATTATTTATTATCATTAATAATTCCCACTGATAGTTTTAACAACAGTAAATAGCGGATGAGATTTTTTTTTAACTAAACATTTTTAAATTAATTTCGAATGTGATAAGCTTTCAATTCCTTTTAATTATAAGATTTTATGCAATAATAATTTATTATTTTGTCATTTCATTTCCTTATAAAAAGAAAACTAATAGAATAATGCAATTGATAATTGAATCTATGTAAGATTTGAAACGAAATATTTCATAATTTAATATCCACTAATTTTTTTTTCCTTAAGAGAAAGAGAAAGTGAGAGGGAGCGAGAGAGAGAAAGAGAAAGGGAAAGAAGAATTGTCTCATGTTCAGCTATTGTCGTACTGTTCGAATGTGCTGAAATATCTGATCTTATGTTGCAGTGAATAATGATCTAAGAATTAATTTGAATTAATTAGTAATTGTTTTATTTTCATTTACATGAAATCATTTTAGAATGGTAAATGGGGTAAAGAAGAAAAATCATCTAATCCATTCAAAAAGGGCGATAATTTTGATCTTCGTATACGAATTCACGAGGATAAATTGGAAATTTTTGGTAATCAAAAAGAGCTTCATATTTATAAAGCTCGTATAAATGTCAGTTCGGTTGAATATTTAACCATTCGAGGAAATATCTCTTTGAAAGGTGTACATTGGGGTGGTCGATATTATACTTTACCATTTGAAACACAATTTCCGGGTGGTCATCTAAAAGCTGGTAGGTTATCATTTTATAATAAAATTATAATTTTATATTATCATCTAAAATCCATTCATTGATTAATTTATCATTCAGAATAACTAATTTCTTAAAGCTTAACGTATAATATCTTGATATTAGGAATTGTATTTTTATTCAATAAAATATCAACATTGATTTTTATATCTCAATTCTTATCACTAAAAACTAATAACTTTATCAGTTAATAATATATTAATTTAATAAAAAATCGTCTCATCTTTTTTGTTTGAAGGTCTGCATGAAGTTTTTTTTTTTTTTTTTTTTTTTTAAATTTATATATCGAATTCATATCTAAATTTGTTTTTACTAATCAAGATACATCGTTATCTATTGAGAACGCTCGTTTGTCAAAACTGACTAGTTTTTAAGGAGAAAAAAAAATGAAATTTTTAGGTGACTAATAATGCTGACAATGATATTTTACACGTAAAAAAATTTGCTAACAAAGTTTAAAAAAAAAATTAGAAAAATATCAAAAAAATGGCGCAGGTTATTTTTTTAAAAAAGGAAAGAAAGAATATTGCACTATAAATGTAAATTTAGTTATTTAGATTATTAACTTATATTTTGTTTCTACATTATTTATTTATTCTGTTCCATTTTATATGCTTTTCTTTTTGCCGAACGAAGTAATTTTTCATAATTCCAACTAATGAATTAAAATTTTTAAAGGTCAAAGTTTAATTTACTTTTAGATATTTATATAACGATGTAATTTTTTTCTCATTACTTTTTTTTTGACTGTTTATTATTTTTCAATTTTTTTTTTTATATAAATTTCAAATATATTTTGTGTATTTATTAAATTATTTACAGTTAATTGGAAATGATATTAAAAACAAATTAAAGATAAGTTAATAGAAAAAATTAAAATAAATTAATAACGTTTGATATCTGATTGAAATATATCAATGATGTATTACAGACGAACGAATTTACGTGTATGGTATTCCGAAAGGTGAACGTTTCGAGATTGACTTTGTATCAAGAAATGGTGATATTCTATTTCACTTCAATCCACGGTTTAAGGAAAAGCAGGTCCTTTAAATTACTAATTGCTATTTTTTAATTTTTAAAATTTATTCTTCTTTTCTATCCTTCTGCAGAATATTTTGGAATAAAATAATATCAATTTTAATTTTAGACATTTTTATTTTCAATGCATTTCAATTTTAATTTATTTTCAGTTCTTTGCTTTTACCTTTTTGTAAAACTATCTAACTTGCCATTAGCTATTGGAGGTAATACGCAATGCACAAATTGGTGACATTTGGGGACAGGAAGAACGTGAAGGAATATTTCCATTTAAGAAGGATATTGGTACCGATATCATCTTACATAATGCACCTTATTCCATTCAGGTAATTTATATTAAGCCTAACTTAATTCCTTATAATATTGATGAGAATGATAATATTTATAGATTACTTAGAATTTTTAAATGTGAAATCTTTTATTAATTTAGAATACTTAAAAAATTATATAGTTATTAATTTCCTACATGAATGCTATTTGATAAGTGTTTTTGATCCTTTTTTTTTTTTTTTTTTGCAAGACGTTTTTTATGACTTGAACTTTTTTATTGTTTTTATTCAAAATGAATTATTATTTGAAAATTTCATGCTATTCTTTAATGAGATGGAATTGCAATGAATAAATTTAACAGATTATATTTATTTATTTCACATAAAAGTGCTAAGTTCCATTTGTTGGCTCTCGAAATTATTTATTCTTTTTTAAAAATAAAAAACAGAGTTTGGTGAAAAGTTTTAGATATTTATTGATGGTAAACGTTATGGTACGTTTGCGCATCGTACAATAAAACCTGATGAAGACTATATGGCTCTTCGAATAGCTGGGGATTTTGAGTTAACAGGAATGGAATTCACGATATAATTGGAATATTTTGCATTTAGTTTCACTTTTGTCTTTTTTTGCTATCATATTTAATTTCCTGTTATAAGTAATTAATTGTAAATTGCATTATTAAACTTTTTTCTATGTGTAAACTTGTTCTTACAAGTTAATTTGCAATGTTTATAATTTGATAAGGTGTATTAATTGCTTATAGCACTACTCTTTTCTTTAAAATCTCTGTTAAATTTAAATTTTGCTTGAAATTTTTAAAAAATTTCAAAACTTTTTAAAATTTTAGTTTTGTGTCCATTTATTTGAAAATATTGCTAGTTTTAAACATTTGATTAGACAGCTGAATTAAATTAATATTTTGACATAACTTTAATTTGAAAATCGAAAATTGAGTAATTAGAAGCTCTCCATTGTTTTACTAAACAAATATTATGATATTAAAAAGAATTTTCTCGAATTTTTTCCTGTATAGCTTATTTTCATAAAATTTTCTTAGTATTTGAATTTGTTTCATTCTGTTAATGCATGGTGACACCTTATAACTATTTCAATTTCTGAAATGTGATAGCATCATTGCAGTGAAATAAGAATTTTGTGAAATTTTAAAAATAAAGAAAGGAATGGAAATGAAAAAAGTGTGAAAAGAAAATGGATGGGATAATTAAGGATGAAAATAAGTATGTGCTTAAGAAATTACTTATAAAAAAAGTTGAAAAATAAGGAATTAAGTAATTAATTGAACAATGCTTTGATGTAACATTCATCCTTTCCGAGGACTGCAAAATTAATGATTTATATTGGAAGTTTTACTTTTTCCCTCTTTTCTTAAACCATAATATTTTGTTTTTAAAATTCAAAATTAATAAGTGTCATATTAACTTCTCCATATTATAAAAAATTTGCTTGTGTTAATAGTATATGTTAGTTTTAATCAACAAGGTTAACTAATTTAATTCAATTCAGTAATTTAATCACCACTTGTATAATGAAAAGTTGAAAAAAGAAACAATTTAAATGTATGATTAATTTGCTGGAATTGTTATAGCAATGATTTAATTTTTTGAAATTAAAAGCATTTAAAAATTATCAAAATATTTTAGAAGAAAGCAGAAAAATAGAGAATACTGAAAGAGGAAAAGAAAGCATTGCAAGAAATTAATTTAAAGAAGATCCGAAATATTTTCATTTGTACATCACCGATCGATAGATTGTCTATGAGAAAACTTCTTTTAATTCGATGTATGCGTAATTGACGTGTCTAATTGTCGTAGTGTAGTAAGTTTGAGCGATGGTATATTGTTGGTTTTGGGTGGTTCGGTAAACATTGCGTCGACATTTTTGCTTGATTAATTATTAATTAATTAATGTAAAAATTATTTCGAATTAATTTAACTATTCTTGTTTTTGGCGTATTGAAGAAAATTTCTTGCTAGCATATATGTTGCTTAGCGAATTAATGATAATGTATGATCTAAAAATGTTAATACGATTAGTAATCATTGATGTCTACGTATAGCTATGAAAGCGTATGTGATTTTATTCGTATTTATTATCCATGAAATCGTTGTGTATGCTCTTTAATTCTATCGAAAAAACTTTTTTTTTTTTGAAATGAACAAGTATTCTAAAAAAGATTCAGCCATATTTCGGTTGGAAATTAGTTTTATTGATGAGGTTCTGTTTTTTGATGTAGTTGATATTTTCAGATTCCAAAGATGGATCAATTTCGAACAGGTGGGCAACGTGAATTTCTGAGAGCAGCTGAAGATGCTGCAGATGATGTATGTTTTTTTTTTGAACAGTTTAATTGATAAGAAGTTACTAATAAAGACAGGAATTGTGATCGGTGAATTAGCTTTTCCCCTATATTGTTTATATAATTTCTGCATTCAAATAAATCTATATTTCTTCCTTTTTTTAAAGTTCAGCATTAAAAAAAATGTATGGTTATAAAGTAACAAGAAATAAACACAAAAGCAGAAAAGTTGTTCTCATAGGTCATTAATTAAAAGAGTAAATGTTACATGGTAGGTACTCAAATGATGAGGTAATTATGGTTTATTTATTTCAGTTACAATTTCAGATCTTGAGGCATACAAAACATTTTCTACCTCATGTAGCACGGCTTTGTCTTATATCAACATTTATTGAAGATGGTATCCGTATGTGGTTCCAGTGGGATGATCAAAGGCAGTTTATGCAGGTGAAACTTTGGAAATATTTTTTGAACATAACCATGAATTCATTTGTGTTGTGACTTTGATGAAAGTTGGAATCGTTATCGTACTAGGGTTCAAGAAATTATTCATACTAATTAAGAAAACTTATTCATTGCATTGCTCTCATCTTTACTGATATACTATTATGCAGTGCTGATGGTTGGCGTGCCTGTTTATATATTTCATTAGAGAAGTAAAAACAGTATCGGAAATTAAGGATTGCATTTACCAAGCTTCCATAAAAGTTGAAACTTTTACTATTCACTATCAGGATTCTTGGTCGTGTGGTTGGTTACTTGCTACATTTTTCGTTGTGTTCAACTTTTTTGGTCAGATCATTCCAGTTGTAATGGTTATGATTCGTAAAAGGGTCAGTTTTTGCATTTTTGAAAGGTTTATTTAAATTTGTATAGTCTGTAAAGTAATGGCAACTTTCAGGTTGGCATAGCATGCATTTTACTAGCTTCTGTTGTTGCTTTACAAACAATCGCCTATCATATACTATGGGATTTGAAATTTTTGGCAAGGTAAGATTTTTTTTATTTGATGTAGCGCATTCATTTTTAGATCTAAATTTGATCTAAATTTACTTAAGTTCGCACATAGTGAATTCCTCTTTTGTGAATATTTATTGAAAGAAAGCGTTCAATGGTGGTTATGGAAATAAATCTTCAATTTTTTTGTAGAAATGTTGCCGTTGGAGGTGGCTTGCTACTTCTGTTTGCTGAAACACAGGAGGAAAATCGAAGTCTTTTTGCTGGTGTTCCACAAGTTGGTGATGCAAATCGTGGAAAATCTGCTATGTTACTTACTGGTATAATATTATTTTAATTTAAAATATCTAAAAACAGTTCCAAAAACAGTTGACATGTGAAAATAATATTTTAAGGATGCTGTTATGACTTTTGGGAGGTTCACAACGCTACTGAGTTCCGAAGGCAGTTGTGTTGTTGCTAGAAAACCCTCTGAATTGAGTGTTTTAACTTACTTTCTTGATTTGGTGAAGATTATGCTAGTTTCCAATGTTTTTAGGAGGACGGATTTTCTTGGAACATTTTTTTTTTTTTAACAGTGCAGTTATTTTCTCGATTCAACTAATGTTATGAACCTCCGAAAAGTTAATAACAGCATTCTTCAAATATTTTTCCTGGAAAAAACGGCTGTCCATTGTATGGTGCTAGAAATATGTGATGTAAGACATTTTCGCTTGGTGAATAAAGAAAATTAATTTAGCATTTCTCGTGTTTAACTTCTATTAATGTACTGATGGAGATTATTATGAAAATAATTTATTAGCTGGAATTCAACACAATTTCTCTTGTTTTTAGGGCGAATATTTCTCATATTCATGTTCCTGTCATTGATTCATTTCGAATGGAATTTTGTGAAACTTATCGAAGTAGTTGTTGGTGGAGCTTTGATGACACTTGTGCTTGTTGGATATAAAACAAAGGTAAGTATAAGTTTTCAAAATAATATATTGTAGTAGAAGGAAAAAGCATATTAAAGTGAACATATTGCAGAAAAAGTGAAATGCGTATTCGGAAAACTGTTTCTAGAAAGATTGACCTCCAATAAAAGGAATTCGTAATGTTTGTTCGAATATTTTTTTATGTTGTACAACGAGAAGTTATTAATAACAAGAAATTACATTTATGCTTTCAGCTTTCCGCTTTTGTACTTGTTATATGGCTATTTGGTTTAAATCTCTACCTGAATGCTTGGTGGATAGTGCCAGCAGATCGTTTTTATCGTGATTTCATGAAATATGATTTCTTTCAAACAATGTCAGTTATTGGTGGACTGTTGCTTCTGGTCGCCTATGGTCCCGGTGGTGTTTCGGTTGATGATTACAAGAAACGATGGTAGAAGTACAATATTTTATCATTATGTGTAAGAAACTTTTGTGTGAACGTTTTCATCTGAATGGATGCACGGCAGATGACCACCTAGTTCCTGTCAGAATCAGAATTCGACCAATTTTTCTTCGAAAAATTTTCTTTAAAATTTGATAACCTTTTCTCTGCTTGTTTCTAACTGATAATTCGTTTGGGAAACCGTACTTTATATCAATATTCATAATTGTGATCATGGATTTGAAATTTGAATGCAAATCCTAACCTTAAAGTGCAGTTTCATACCAAAATAGGAAAAAGACGGTTACTTCGAGTACATTTTGATGTTGCAGTATACTTGCTATGCTTGTTGTAGTGTCATTATATTTAGTTCGGTAGGACTCCAGAAATTGTTTCATTTTTCAGTATTATATAGATCATGTATGGTTGTTAACGCAGATTCAATTTTTCCACATCTTTGTTATAATTGGCACATTTCTCAAATTTAAAAATATCAGTATCTAGCTTGACATATTGAGGTCTTCTAACGAAAGGAGAATCAGCTTGTCGGTTATCGATTGGTGAAGCAAACTAAAAATCCTTGTATGCTTCATCGACGCAATAACTCTGGTATCATTCATAGGCGCAGAGGAAGTACTGCCGGCCTTTGAATTTTATTTATTGGTTTTTTCTTTTTTTTCCAAGAAAGTTTTTGTTCGTTTGATAATTCCTATTTGTAGAACAGGTCATTTCATATTGTAGGTTCTTCAAGTATATTTTGAAATTATCATTTCGTTTGTTGTGCAAAGATTTTGTACACTTTTACTCATGTTTGGGGACTAAATTTTTTTGCTGTTATTACGTATAAACAGAACATACTGTTGTTTTACTCACTTTTTTGATTTATTTCACTAATTTCATAATAAATACCGGTGTGAAGTCGCTACTATGATTACGATGATATCGTTGAGTAAACTAAATTGCAGCGAGGAAGAGGGAATAGGTATATGAAGTTTGGAACTAAAAAATTCTCTAAAGCCCTATCAGAGTTAGTCCACCACAACGGACTACATTTCTTCTGTTCAAATAGATATCTTGAAACAAATGAATCTTTTCCTCATCGTTCCTCATCGAGCAAAGACTACGCCAAAATAGTGGCTATGCCTATTGCTCACAATGATTTTGTTCCTGAAATTCATTTCATGCATTAGCTAATGTAGTCCGATAACATAGGTAAGAATTTGGATTTACCTGATGGGCTAAACATCCTCTTGTATTTCTGTTATTGGAATGCTTTTAAGTGATGAATGGCTGTATGACGCGAGAGTGAAAATGTATTTGCTTTGAATTGCGGAAAGGCCGAACTTTTTTAAAAAAACAACGCTCAATTGCTCGATCGGTAAAGCCCCATTACTGGTCAACTATAAAAATATGAAATTAAGGAATTTACAGATTAGAACCGGTCAGCCGGCCTTTGTCCACTTGTCCACTTCTTTCTCGTCCTTCTAGTTCTATAAATTATGCAAACATACGAAGTTGTTTCAAGAATGTACAAATATTCCCAATGTATTCTTTTTTTAATAAGTAAAATGAAACATGCGAATGAACGAAGGTAACATACAAACAGGGAGAAAGAATGAAAAACAAAAAGAAAAAGATATCAAAGGGATTGTTTGCCTTAGCGAAAAGATCAAAATATATGATGGGTATTATATGCAGTATGATAAAGACAAGAAAAACGTGTTGTTTGTAACAAGTGAGATGAAAAAGCATTAATAATTAATATGAAACACAGATGATAAGACAGAACGGGAAGAAAAAAAAAGAAAGCGTATACATTTTGGATAAAAGCAAAAACAATTATTTTTTGAAAAATAGCAACAGTTTCACAACGCCAAATACAAATATTACACATAATGCAAATTATGCAGCTCTACATCAGTGACGCCGAATATGCACAATCACTGTTTAGGAATCTTTGAAGCAAAAGTAAGTCCCCAAGTAAATTCACATAGCTTTTCATAACTTTCTATGTTATTACTAACGGCAAGTATAAGAGCAGTTAACACAGCTAAGTTGCATTAGCGACTCACACATAATCGTACCTTCACTACTGAATATGCCATCTACTATATTTGTATTTCTGTATATTCATTTACAGTAAATTTCCAAATATGCAAAACTAAGGATGTATACGGATTGAAATAGTAAAACATGTGATTATTTCTTCATTGAGGGCTAGATCCAGAAGTTTTTTCTTTGATTACTTAGTCTGAAATGTCACATTTCTCATACATGCCAATCAAGCATATTCGGCATCAGCTCTGGATGGACAACGATATGCTTAGTGACATCAGCCAAACTAAATACAGCAACGAAACCTTGTGATATCCAGAAATTAAGAGACTCTCTTCTTTAACACACGAACTTTTATGATACTTTCAATTTTACCTAATATTCATAAAAAAATCAAGTTATCTATTGCCCTTTGTGGACTATAAAAAAAAGAAAGGAATCTAATTGAATGCGTATATTGTTGATGATTCAGGAAAGAGTTAGCTTGAAGAAAAAAACATAATTGGAAGTATAAATTTATAAATTTCTGCTAACAATTACAATTCTTGCCTTCTTGTCCCGCTGACTGTGTTGAACGTGGCAAAGTTTGTTTTGGTTGAACACCTGTGTCAGCTTGATTTAAATCAAGACTGAAAATCAAGAAAAAGATTAAGTAAAATTACTAGTTTATAATCCATCCCCAATTATGAGTAATGTTGATTATTTTTTCTAACATTAATTTTGAAGTAATATATGCTCCAAGAACCGGTAAGACATACAGCATAAAATAAAGTAAAACAGGAGTATTTGGTCAAGACAAACCTGCCATCTTTGATATTCTGATAAATTTTTCTTGCCGTATCCAAGAAAGCATCTTCCACGTTGTCACCACTAAAAAAAAATGACGTCAACAAGAATACTATAACATAGCTTAAAAACGGCACTACACCACATTTTTCGTCAACCGTTGATTCAGCCATTCAGTCAGTGATAAAAAATATATATTGAAAAATGTGATAGAAATGTAAATCCATACGTTTTTGCTGAGCACTCCAAAAAAGTTAAACCATGTTCATCAGCAAAGGCTTTTGCTTCCTCGAATGTAACATCCCTTTGCCCATCCAAATCACTTTTGTTACCAATCATAAATATTACCTAGAAATAGATTACACTTATACACGGTCATTCAAGCTACATGGTTTTCAGTATCAGAGAAGCTAGAAATAACAAGGGTTCCTTAGTATATAGCAAAGGAAGTAATGCAAATCAAACTGACTGGAGTGACATCATTTGTCTAATTTAGACAGTGCAGCTGTATGATGTAAAAAATAATAGATAATGAATTGCACTGCATGACTGCCCACTGCTGATGAAAACGAGGTAAACAGACCCTACTGATGCACTGTTTGCTCAGAATATCACTGACTCAAGTTCAAAGAATATTGCAAGAATGGAGACATTGTGAGAATACCGTATTTGGATGCGTAAGATTTCTGGCATCTGCCAACCAACTGCTCAAATGATTATAAGTTGAACGTCGTGTGATATCATAAACCATCAAAGCACCAGCAGCACCCCGATAATATGAACGAGTCACTGCTCGAAATCTGACAAAATATTAATGACGATAAAATTTTGTTTTGCAAGAAGACTAGAATGAGATGATAAAATCAAGTATCTAGAAAATGTGACACAAGTAATAGACATCAACAACAGTTAATATCAATTAATCCCACTAAAGAATAGCTCAAAGTAAAAGGAATTTTGCAAAGAGTTATCGGATCTTAATACTACACTTTCCATTTCTTCAGACACATTATGACTTGTCATCTCACAATGTCTGACTAGGTGTGACAAAACTCCTTGTTCAAAATAGACTGTGAATCTGGCAAAATTCAACAGATCGAGAGGACCATCACTGATACCAAATTTTCAAACCTTTCCTGACCAGCTGTATCCCAGATTTGCAGTTTGATTTTCTGTCCACTCACTTCGATAATACGTGTTCCAAATTCAACGCCTATTGTATGAGGACAATCGGCCATAACTGTAATAACCGAAAGAGACTGCTTCACATTTATTTCTTGACAAGACAATTTAAAAAGAAAAGGATATGATTTCTGCACAGAAAGAATACTTAAACAATTCCATATCTGTAAGAAGGTTAATTTTTAAGTCTGACATATATAGAGCAGAACACCTTTACAAAAACCTAACTAAACTAGCTGCCTTTGCAATACCATATACTACTTTTCTACTGTATAAGAACAGTAGGACATAGCTGCAATGATCAAAATGAATTAATAAATCTTTTTTTTTTAATAAATCTAAAGCCACACCCGGCTTTGTAGACATAGCTTAGTAAACTGAATCCAAATGTTCATAAAGCTTGAATTTAATGAATTTAAATGTTCGTTTCCAATAGGCTAAGCACCTAAATACAGATGAGAATCATAAAAAAGTTACATTTCTTTTCGGTGAACTGATGTAACAAACATGATTTGCCAACACCCATATCGCCGATAATAATATATTTGAAAATGTATGAATAATTGTAAGGCCCATTCGATGACATCACTCTTCAATTAAATCAATTTTTGCCTATAAACATCACATTATTCTTATTCACCAAAAGTAAAGGTCACATAACGAAGCATCCGAATGTAATATCTATTAACTATGTGTCTAAAGACATCAGATTTTCAGGAACTTACAATACAGTATAAATAACTTTAACGAAAAAGTAGCATTTAGTAATTGCTTTAGAAATTAAATGAAAGAAACAACGAATCTGAAGAACTTATAAGATTCATCCTTCTCTTATCACGAGAATTAAGTATAAAAGGTAAACGTAATATGTGTACACAATCATGTACTTCCGATGACACAAACAAAAAAATCATCGTTTGCCCTGCTTGCTATATTCATATATTTAAACGTATAAAACGTAACAAACGTAATCCTGGATAACAACTCTCTAACATACAACAAAACCGTCGCAGTCCTCACATCTACGACATCATGCTATCATCAATTATATCGCCGACGACATTCGACAAATAATCGCTCGAATAAAACACGGCCAACTATGGGAATGTTGCGGACCACTATGAAATATTCAGTTTTCAACATTTGTTGAAATCACTGGTTGGATTTCCTTGTAACGTTTGTAATAGTTGAAATTGAGAACGTATAGTAGTGAGCTTGAAACTTTTATTGCTTTTCATTTGAGGGATAATATTTGTAATAGATGATTCAATTCAAATAATACAACAAAAAGAAAAGAGAGGGACGAAAGAAAGAGAAAGAAAAGGAATGGCAATATTTGAGTAATTTAGTAAATTTTCAGTAATATAAATTATACAACAGTATAGTACAAAATACACGACAATTTAATAAGTGCTTTTTGATTCAATATCCTTTTGTAAATCTATTTTATAAGTAATGCCTTGTTTATCGAAGTGAGAAAAAAAAGACGGAAGATCATAATTATGATAAATTAATATGGATATATTAAGAATAAATGAACTGAGATTATATTCAACAATAATTAGAAAACAGTGTGAAAGTTACATGTGAAAGCCTTTTTTTTCTTCTTCAGAGTGCCAATAAATATTGATTAAGTTTGATTTAAATGTCTTCTAAATAAATTTATTCTCAAAAAACAAAAAATTTGATTCATTCGCTAACGATATAATTATGAGAATAAAGAAAAAAAAAACTCTTACTATTCCTAAAGATTTAGTATATAATATGCAAATTTCAATTTATTAATTAGCTAAATGCTGATAATCATTGTTGGCAGTTATCAATCAATCATATCACTATCGCGTTCATTTGTATTTGTATCTTGTCTATTATCAAAATTATCATCGTCATCAAATGATATCTCACTCTCACCCCAGATGTAATCAATATTAGCTGATCTATCAAAGACACTACAACGTGCGCGATTAGTTTCAGAGTTATTTTGTTCAATTGTTAAAAGTTCACGCATGCTTGGAACATGAAAATTTTCATTATCAAATGCAGAATTATCAGTTTCATCTTCTGTTTCCATTTTATCTAATACAATTAATGCTATTCCAAGTGAACATATATTCAATGCCCACTGAATAATTTGCAATATATGATCGATCTGAAAAAAATTTATAATAGATGATAATATGTTTATAAGTGTTAAATTAAGAGTTTCCAACATGTGTAATGATAATAAGACATGATTAAACCGATAATAAGGTTATGTAGTCCGAATCAAATAAAAATTTCGCGAAGAAAAAAAAAAAAAAAAAAAACAATTTAAAAAAACGAAAAAAAACTTATTTCCGTTTTCTTTTTTTTTGTGTTGTCTGTTTGTCTATGATAATTTTTCACAGATTATTTCATTCAATATATATTAGGTAAAAATTATAACATAATGATAAAAAAAATGAACAACTGAAGAAAATTAGCTTTTTTTTTCTTTTTTCTATACATAAAATATTTTAATATTACAGAATCTTTTGGAAAATATTGGAAATTTTTGAAAACATAAATTAAGAGTAAAAAACTATACCACAATATAAAATATTCGTGCGCTGGCATATTGTAAAGTTTTACTATGACGTGTCATCATTGCAATGACAGTTTGAACAATTCCTGCTTGTACCATAATCAGTAATAATATTGTTGAACAATCCGATATCAACTGTTAAATTAATTAATAATTATGCAAAAAAAAAGAAAAATAGTAAATTTTGGGTAAATTCAATTGTATTCATTATAATAGAAAAAGTAAATAAACAAGCATTAACATTGTACATTTTATAAGTTTTGTATAATTAATAAAAATGTAAAACAGAAAAAAAAGACTAAACAAATTTAGAAGAAAAAAAAAAAGTGAAATAAATAAATGAACAAATTTATTAATTAAAATATATTGTTCTACCACTAACTGAGCATTTTTTTACAAAATTTAATAGCAACATTAAAAAATTCAAAATGGTTATAGAAAATTTAGTGTTAAATCCACTGTGTTAATTAAGTTCAACCTATAAATATATTATTTTAAACTTTCAACTTTAAATTCCCTGTATTTTTAAATAATGGATTCTTGGAACTACTATATATATATTAAATATTGTTCCACCACTAATATATTAAACATTTTGTTAAAAAAAATTTGCTAAATCACTACATTATCTATCCATTAATGACAAATAAATGAGTGGAAAGATAATTTGATATTCCAATACAAAAGAAAGCAATCTACCAATAATAATTTGAGACATTTAATTTTGAATATTTTTAACACCTAAGTTTCATGAAACCATCTCTACCATATCGTTATCATGTCATCTAAAGAAGAGAAACCTGTATGATAAGTATAATTACACATCGTTGAAATCGTTCATGTTTGCAAACCCAAATTTGCAACAAGCATGTCGAAATGGAATTAATCCACAAGAAAAATTCTGTGCCCAATATGAAATCAATTCGTGTTGAAAATAATTTGTACATCTATAATTGATACAAGTTGTTTTAATAATTAAATGTTTTAATAATTAAATGGAAATTTTAGAAAGTATTGAAAGTTAGGAAATTTGCTTCAAGAATTAATAATTCGTTATTATATTAATACAAAGTTGCATTAATTGAAGATGTTAGTTGCTTATATTGTATTAGTAATTAGATCCCACATTTTCTGTTTTTATCGATATCCCTTTACATTTCAGTTAATTTGCAGTGCTAGAATAGCATTTCATTAAATTGCAATTTATTAATTGATTTTCGATGAATTGTGGATAATTTTTTTAATTGTTTTTTAAGAGTTAATTGTACCTATTTTTTTTTTTTGAAACTTACAGTCATTGTAAAAAGTATTTCTAAAGCAGTAACAGCAATGAGAACATAAGCCAAAGTAATAAGCCAACGAAGTGATCGCATAATAGCTATTGGTTGAGTGTATAGCGGTGTATGCGTTATTATTGTTTGAAAACAAAATATGATTGATTTAAATGATAAAACTGCTAAGCCCAATGATAGAAAAAAGTAACTACCTGAAAAAAGAAGAATTTTTGTATTTGAATTTTAAAAAAACTTCAAAGAAAAAAATTTTGATCATTATTTGATTATTTAATTTAAATATTAGAATATTATTTGACGATTGTTAGTTATAAATCATTTAACATACTAAATAAATAACTAATCTTTCAATTTTTCACCTTTTTTCAAAAAAAAAAAAGGAATGGAAGATCAAATTATGCTACAAAAAAAAAAAAATTTTTTTTTTCAAGAATGATAGCTTAACGATTAACATAGAATGTGAGCAAAAAGTACGGAAAAAAGAAAAAGTGAAGAAGAAAGAGAAATAAAAGGATTTTAAGATTTTTTTTAATATTTTCTTAAACTTATTAAACTAATTGTTTTGCTATTATTTACTTTTTTTTTTTTAATTTTTTTTTTAATTTTTTTTATTTAACTTAAAAATTTTAGGATAAGATGAAATGAATAACTGAAAATCAAAGAAGATAGAATAACTCATACCGTTTATTACAAAATTTCCAATGCTTTTATTCAAAACATAATATAAACGACCGGTAAACATAGCTTCAACAAATACATAAAGTGTATGAATGGATGAGTTTATGATAATAATTGATAAAACAGCTAGAATTTTCTGAAATAGTGATAAATTATAAAATAGGTAAAATCCTTTAAAATAGTTAGTTGCTTTAATAATAAACCCAAATAAATATCAAAAATTTCAGCTGTTATGATAAAAGGTGCTAAAAAAGAGATTAACAGATAATGCATTAATAAGTTAAAGATATGAAATACTTAATTTTTAAAAGTCATTTTAAAAATGTCAAAGTTTTCATCTATAACACTTTCACATTACACGATAAACATAACTGCGAATTAAAATATACAAATGAAAATAATTTTAATTACTAGGAATAAAATAAATGCTATTATCTTTTAATCATGCAACAAATAAGTTTATTCCTTCTTCTTAAGCAAACAAGTAAATAAACGTAATTAAAAACGAATAAACTTACTAGAAACATAGTTCGTCGTTCTTTTCGATAATGATAATAAATGATTGATAAGCAAATTGTATAAATTAGTGAAATTGCAGTATGACCAATTCGTTTCGCATCATTGCACATATAGTAAGTAATATCCGTAGCAATACATAAAACTGATAATACTACAGCAACATAAAACAATAAATTACTTTTTCTTTTATCTAAAATTAAAATTTGAAATAGTAATTTGAATTTGACATAATAAAGCCTACAATTTTTTGGGTGAAAATTTTTTCCTCTCCACACAACAATACATATTTATTCATAGTGAAATTAAATGCTTGAATTATGCACAGTACATTTATAGTTTATCACTTCATAATGTTACTTTATCTTATACTAGATTTTTCATAAATAGATTTTACTTTTATTTATTTATTTGTTTTTTGAGTGCCTAAAGCATATTTTTAATACTGGCAAAGAAAGAGAGAGAGAAAGAGAAAAAAATAAATTATGAACTGAAAGATGATTAATTAGATTAATTAATATTAATACCAGCATTATCAGCTCGCTTAGCTTGCGCAAGGCTAATGCCACGTGTACGATTTGGTGCAAAACGAATACGACATAAAAATTCAACAAGAAAAGCTTTTTTTGCAAAAACAGCTACAGGATATGCACACGTAATAAGACGTAAGCCATGAATTACAAATGAGCCAACTAATAAATGCAAAACCTGAAATGATAGATTTTTTTTTTTAGAGAAAATAATTTTCAAATTTCAATTGAACAAATTCCATCTTTAATAAAAATTTCATAGCAGAAATTTTAAAAAGAAAAAAGAGTTAAACAAACAAATTATACATATTTCATTTTTCTTCACTTTTTTCTCATTTCATTCAAAATACACTCAAATAGTGAATTAATTAAAATTAATTGAATTAATTAAAAGAAAAAGAATTATAGGATGAAATAGCATACATAATTCAAGTTTTGATAAATTATTTCAAATCTTTTTTCTTCTTTATTTGGAAAAATTTCATTATACAAATGAGCAATTTAAAATTTAAATAAAATATGTTTTCATTTTATTAGAAAATGCAAAATAAAACTTATAATTACCTCAGCTTGATCAAATAAACTAAATTTGTATGTCACATCATTTTTCCGTCTCATAATCATAATTAGCATATATGTACTGTATGCATACATTATTTCTTGTACAAATTGGCAAACGTTCATGATTACAACTGCCCGCAAAATATGCGTGTTGCATGCATCACGAAAATACCACTGCATATATGCAATTGATAATGCTAAGCATGCGCAACAAACTTGCTGCACGATAAATGGTGAAGCATAGCTGAAAAAGACAAAGAATTTTTCATTTTTCTTTCTTCCCTCTTTCTCACTTTCCCTTTCGCTCTCTCTCTCTCTTTCGTTTTTCTTCCGACTAATTAAATAATATATCTGGATTTAATTTGAAATGAATAATGATTTAATATCTAAACGAAATAAATAAACATACTTAAATGTGAAATATTGCAAAAAAATAAAAACACGTGGAGTCAAATGAATTGTTGTATAAATTAAAATGAATGATGAGATCTATATGCAACCTTAAATGACGTAAACAAAAGGATACGTTTAGTTTTTACGTACGAAAATGAAAAAGTGTCAACGTCAGTTAAGTAAATTATTGCATAATTTAAAATAAATAATTAGAAACTCATATAATACAGCGAATTACATAAATGAATAAAAAACTTTATATAATTTGGTTAAAGAAACTAACGTTAATAACTTTTTTCCTTTTTTTGTAAAGTAGTAAATGATTTATGTAAATGAATGATAATGTAAATAATTATAAATACGCTAATGTAATTAATTATGTAAAAGAATGACTTACGGAGCGTTTGCATTCATTTCGTAACACACTGCAAAGTTTAATAATCCAAGAATAAGATGAAATATGGAACAGAACTAAAAATTAATTATTAAAAAATAAAATTAAAAAAAAACACTATAAACATATTATTGCACACGAATTATGTATAAAATTTATAATTTTAAAAATAAATTTAACATTAAAAAATTGTAAAGAATAACTTAGATTTAAAAGTTTCAGAATTTAAATTTAAACTTCAACTTAAAATTATTAAAAAAATTAAAAACTAACCATAATTTGATGTTTATGTTCAAATGATTGCATATTTTCCTCCATAGTTTGTGCTAATTTAATCAAATTTTTCAATAAGTAGTAAGTTAGAAGTACACTAATAATTGATAAAAAGCCAAGAAATGCATTCATTTGTAAATAATTCGTTTCACGTCGTTCTTTGCTGGACCATACGGCAAAAACGTGAAAAAGATTGAGAATACTAAATGCTACCGATGCAATACTATAAATTAGAGTATATTGAGCTGATGCATAAGTTGCCGTAAAAATTATCAGTGAATTAGAATTAACGAAGAGATAAATGAAGAATGATGTAATAATTAATGATGATAATAACCAACGATATTCATATAGTGATATTGCCTAGAAATAAACATCGCATTAATATTTCATCAATTAAATATTTGAATTAATAAATTAGTGAATTTTCACTTTCCAATGACAACTTTTGAAAATTTTTTGATAATTATTTTTAAAAATTTTCCTAATAACAATGAAGAGAGATTTATAATTGTTTTATCTATCAATAAATTATGATTACTCATTTTTTCTTTAATTGCATTTTTCAACAATAAAATAAATGTACGAATCAATGTTATCATCTACAAAATATTATTTGATAAATTTAAAAGAAAAAATACTAGGATAAAGTTTGAAATAGGATAAAATTTAAAATTGATATAGTATTACTTGATATGGTGAATTCCAATATATAGCAATGGTTGTAAGAAACCAAATAACAGAAATGGCAGTTGATAAGTATCCAAGAAGTACTAATAGATTTTTTGTTGTTACTGAAATTTCCATTTTCCTAAAGAATTTAAATTGAAATTTTGAGCGAATTACAAAATGATGATAACAAATGCTATTCGACACTGCAATATCATTATTAACTTCTTTACGACGATTGCTTCATTTCGATGTTATAATTAATCAAGCGAAGGAAATTGTCAGACAAACAGAAAGATAAAATAGTTTTATCCTATCACATTTCAAATCCATCAAAAGTGGCGACTTCTTCATCATCATCCATTCTTAAGCTATTCTACATTTCAAACAACCGACCATTTAACAAACTATTGTTGTAATATGTGTTTCTTTCTATTCATAATAATTTGTTTCTAATTACGCTAATTAACTGACTGATTTGTGGAAAAAAAAATCGCTATTCTTCTTCTTCTTCTTATTATTATTATTATTATTATTAGCTCATTCATCGAGTTTATTCTTATGAATATAAAGATGCAATGGATAATTCATTTCTCAGAACACAGATTTACATCAGAAATTCATTTATGCGATACTCGATACACCTATTGCATAAATTCATTTTTTGAAGAACTACACTGAATATTTATTTATGCGATTTATTAGATTATCTTGCAGATATTCATATAGAATTTCAAATATACTATAAGTTATTAACGCTTATATTATTTCAAAATATTATATGAGCAATTTATACATATATTAACTTCATCAATATAGAAAATCAAAAAAAAAAAAAGAGAAAAAAGGAAAAATTCATACTTTTCCTTAAAAATATTCTTATGTTTTTCCTACATTTCACAATTTATACTATTAAATTTATTCAATTCCCAAATACTAACACTTTGATTGCACATCACATAAATTTACCAATGTTATCATAACGAAATTATTTTTTCGCATCCCCAATTCACCTCAAAACTAATTGACAACAGACTCTTATCATTAATATAAATTTATAAATGATAAATCCTACACACATTGTGACAAGACGAACAACACTAAAAACCAACCGTACTATTTTCAGTTTGACTAAAGCAGTGACCACAAATCCTCCCTTCTCCATTTTTTTGCGCCTTTTCGAGATCACGCGCCAGTAAGTCAATTCATGAAATTTTTGATTTTTATTTTTGCTGATATAGATTACCTCTAACAAATGCTGCAGAAAGAGATATCAACAAAGCATAATTTATTTCAATCGAATCAAACATACATGTAAAACAGACATATACAAAAAGTACAAAAGAGTATGAAAGTATAAATCGCGTATAAAGTTTCGAACTATTCGGTTCATTCAATGCTATGTGAAAGCGAACGGATAAGAAGGTAGAATACATTAAACAAAAATTCTATAAAGAGATCAGCAATAAGGACCATGATTTTCCTTATTATTTTTACGAAAATTAGAATAACCTTATGATGACAACTAAGGAAAAAATGGAATTAGAATATTCACATGATGATGGTCACAAGAAAAAATGTATTATGAAAAGACTTATCGCCTTCTACTTTACAGCTAGGCTAATTACAAGATGTATACAGCTAAGAATCTTAAAGTAAATTTATGATTTTATGAAAACAAAAGTGGAACTTGCTCCGTCTTTGGAAGGTTTAGTTAAGTGACATTTCATTCACAAAGGATGCCCAGGTAGTGCTCACAGATTACGTAACAAAGTAACATCGGATGTAAAATCTCTCATGTAACACGGAAGCTGAAGCTCATAAACTCAAAGAAAGAAAGCTTAAAACAAATAAACAGCTCCATAATTCCACAAAGATTTAAGCAGAACTCACAAAGGAACATTGTAATAAGCTTTTGATAAGAAAACATTTAAATCGCAACAGCAGTTGAACATGAATAAAATAATTATATTAAAATGATGAATCAAAATTATAGTCTGGGATTAAAACATTATTCCGAAAATATAACTTGAATGTAAGGTTAAAATGGACTGAGGAATTTAATATGACAACTATTTTAAAAAATCCGAAGTGATGCAAGTGCATTTGAAAGGTTTTATACTGTATTTGTCTGCTGCTACTGCAAATAAAGTACGGTTTTAGAAGCAGAAAGAAGTCGCAATGTAAAAATTTACTAAAATGCTCTAATCACTATTAACAGGTTTTTAATGGATTTATATCATAATGGAGACAACAGTTATTCATACTATGTTTTATAACTCCTTAACCAATTAACCTAACTAACACTAGACATTTAAAATGGTATCGAAAATACTGTGCATCTTTAGTTTAGTAGAAATATGCAATTCATAACTTTTAAATCTCTGAAAAATTATATGAAGAGAAGTCTTTCTTTTTACATTAATTCATACCTCTATATAAAGGTAGAAATAGCGAGGAGGTAAGGTTAGGAAGTTACTGCAGATGTGATATTTGGTCCAGCTGAAATTATAATCTCGCCATATGGTTCTGCTTGCTGCACATCAATCGCCTGCCATTTTTTTAAAACAAGCAACATGGAAAACTTTTGAGCAGCGGTTTTTCGCGTTGATCCTTTCGTGAGAAGATCAGTGAATAATATCTAAACAACATATTCAATATATCTAACTTACAAAATATATAAAGGCATGATTTACACACACCTACTTTACTTTTTTTGATAACCTAATACTATAATTATGCAGATTTTTTAACAACTGGAAACGAAAACCATTTTGCACCGAAAATTTGTGATGGATGTTTCACCTCCCTCATCAGATTATGATCGAAATTACCGATAACTCGGTAAATGAAAATCTGTATCGAATACCTACCTTTCCATCAGAAGAAGCCTTGATTTTAGTTGAAATGGAATTTAGAACATTTTGAGTTCTTTTCGTCCACCTATGCTCGTCTTCAGCATCAACTCCTGTTTCATCTTCATCTACTGTACGCTGCAAATCAAAAATCCCCACTCAAATCTTTCAAAAAAATAAACTAGCTGTAAGATCCATTAAAATAAAAAATACTTCGACTCGGCTTTTTCGCTCTTTTTTTTTTTCAGGACTTGTGAATGCATCTTTACTAATGGATATTAGCTGCTCTTCTGGTGCGATCGGCACCTCTGGAATTGTCTCTAACTGTCCTATATTTTCATCTGGTGACATTGCTGTTATGCCCACATCATCAAAATCATCCATGCGGTCTTCCTGGAATAAGTTTTCGCTGATGACAATAAAACATTTTAAGCAGAAACTTTTGAAGGAGCAAACGACCGGGAAGAGTGAGCATAATCACTCCTAGTTACAGAATTTCAGAAAACTACCAGAAGTCCCGAAACAATACTGCCCTCGGGCTCGATATTATCGTCAACATGTTCTGCCATGTCCAAATCTTTCCGTATTTGGTCTCCTGTGAGTGCGCTTGCACTATACACATGGTAAACGAGATGAGAACGATACAGCTATAAAATAATAAACAAAATTGTTTTCATGCATAACCAGTTCCATTTGATTTTCTCTAAACAAGTTTCTTTAAGTGAAAAAATAAGAAAATTTTCAGAATTATTTGAGAAAAAGACGCAAATTTCTGAATTTGAATTTTTCTCTAAATTTACCTTTAGAAGATTTTGAGCCCGCAGATGTGCACAACCAGGAATAGCAAACAGTTTATCAGCAGTTCCAGTTTCTTTGAGTCTCATCAATTTTCTTGTGGGTGGTGCAAGATCCAAAGGCTGTAGTGTATCTCTGCAAAGAGTATTACTCTTAAATGTTCATTACACTGAATACACATAGAAAACAAATTTTCCCACTAAAAGAAATGCATACAAAGCAAAAAAAAAAGTAAAAAAAAAAAACTATAACTTAGAACGAATGTCATTAAGCAAAAAAACTATAACTTGGAACGAATGTCATTTTTAAATAAATAACGAACAAAAAAGAAAAATATAAGTCACAACTATTTGGCAATCATGTACCTGTATTCAGCCATATTTCCTTTCATTTCATCTCCTGAAATATTCTTCTGTTCGTCAACTATCAATCGACGTTTACGCTTCGGTCTTCCTGGTTTTTCGATCCCAGCTACAGCAACAGCAGCTGCATCCAATGGTTCAAGAGTGAAACTTTCATTGGCTAATCCAGCTGAAGCACGAATCAGCATTAATGGAATTAACCAATACAGCAATCATACGAATCAAACAACGCACCAGTTGTAGGAATTACAAGCCCTGCTATTGCTGTTGCTGCGACATCTTCCGTTTCCATCGGAATATCGTGTTCAGCTCCAGGAGCTTCCATTGCATCCAAACTTTTTGCCAATTCGCTCTCATTAAAGATTACTTCTATAAAATAGCATGAGAGATTTTATTGTATATGTATATTTTACTATTATCATTGCTATTGTTATTTATTATTATTGTTTGTTATAACTATTATTATTATCAACATTATTATTACCAATTATTATTTGCTTACTTATTTATTACCACTATTATTTTATTTATTATTATTATTACTATTACTTATATTACTGTTATTTATATTATTATTACCTGTTTAGATTTTGTTTTAGAATTTTCAAGCTAAATTTGTTAAGAAAAAAATATTCCATAAACCTGATAGATATGGAAAACGATGAAAGTCATACAAACAAATACTAATCCGTTTATTCCGGAAATGCCTTTGTTCTGCCATGAAATCCGCAATACTACCGTCCTGCTGTTTTTCTGAGAACAATCTGAATATCCTGACTGGATTTCAAAACAGCTTACCATCCAACATGTTGTCTGCAGGAAAATCACCGAAATCATCATCTGGCATTGGCATTCCAAGATGATCAATGTCAACATCCATCGGTTTCCCGCTAATAGCATCACCCTTTTCGCTACCTGGTTCAGATTCCTCCAGAAGTGTTGCTGCAGATCTACTGATTCCTGCCTCCGGTGCATAAGATACACGATCACGAGCTTCTTCAATGTTAACATCACTGAATAAACCTAGTGAACTTTCTCCAAAATCATCACCCTGAAATGCTTATCTGAACTACACCGTAAAGGTCTTAAAAAAACTGTATAAACCAGAAAATTTCAGTGAAAATCAGATAGCAAATTCAAAATAACACAAACGAATCATCATCACAAGTACCCCAAACTCAGCTCCAAAAGGCATGTCCGCTGTTTCTGGTATAAGATCTTCTTTCAAAGTAATATCATCAATTCGGCTTTGGTTGATGTGAATTTGTGCATGCATGTCTAACTCGTTAAAATCCGGTAATGCAGCGTCAAAATCATGAAATACCTAAAATTTCGCTAATGACATGAACAATCAGCTCCCAGTAATTCAAAGCATAACAGTAGTAAAAAGAAACTAAATTTCCGATGAAAGCAAGCCAGGCAAAATTTACCTCCGGAAGATTTATAGCAGCACTTGCGGTCTGCTGTCCATCTTCATCTAGCTCCACTTGACCAGGACGAAATGCCATTTTAATTTTGAGAAACGCTTCATTACAATCGGCCAAAAGATATTTTGCTTTACGCGAATATATTCTTACAATACCTAACAACAAATGACCGGTGGTACGTAGGGCCATTTTAACCTAGAAAAAATAACTCAGAAAAGTTCAGGGCACTCTGATTTGAAATTATTTGTCTGCTAAAAAGAATATAAAAAATATAAAAATTTATCCGCCCAGAAAAAGGACATGAAAAATATGAAATACGCATGTAAAACCACGTTAACGTGGTTACAATTTTTCTACTTCATACATTAGAGCAAATTATTACTGTAAATTTAACCAAAGCGCTTACCTTAGGTTTCAAGATTTCATCCACAGCATCCTGCACATTTGTTTCATAAATCTGCGCTTTTGATAATTTTTTCTCCCAGTGTGCAGCAAGCCAAATTTTGGCTAGCGGACCTTTTTTTGATAAAACGAACTGGGCGTAAAACATCCCTTCAAAAAAATGCTAAAGATGATGTTATATTAATTAAAACTCTAACATACCACTATGAAAATGAATAAACTTATACTGCTAGAGTGGTGAAATTCCTTATTCAAGAAAAAGTATACACAAGTGTAGAAGAAAAAGTATTTGTAAGTATACATGACATCACACTGCCACGATAGGGACTTAGAAATGATCATAAAGTAATGATGTAGCAATACAAGTACGTATATGTATATCAATTAAGTCATAAATATATGTATATCAGTTAAGTGATACAAAACCAAGCCAAAAAAATTCAACACTAAAAATAATTATAAAACGATAGAAAGAAACCAGAAATGATGTAGCAATACGAATATGATTAACCAATACAATACGAAATATATCTGAATTCCTTTTTTTTTGTTGTTGCCTGACATTATTAGTATTTTCTAATCACCGTCTTGTGTTAAGAACTACTGTGACCCTTAATCTCCAACCCCACTGAATGAAATGGGCAGAAAGCTCATAGGCACAAAAGAACCGCGCGCATTTTACACTGTACTCAGATATAACGCGGCATGCGGCCCGTCGTTATATTTAATCTCTACTTTTTGTCGTAGTCGTTATGTATCTCGCAGCAGTCACTTTTTCTCTTTTGGCATTGTAGTTATGCTGTGGTGGTACGGTGGGTTATTGAACGACAATAACGAGGACTCGATAAGTGATGTTGCAGACGGTTGACAAAGATTTATCATGATTTTGTTCTGCGTTAGTTCGTCTTGTAATTCCGTTCCTATCACTTCTATTTTGTGCAAAAATCGTAGATTTTTCCGGCTGATTGACTGCATAGTTTGATTTCAGGAATTAGATTTTGTAGTTTAATTGTCATCATTAATTATGAAAATTTTATTGCGGAAATTTTTGTTGCCAAATGTGTTCACGTGTTTTTATTAAGATGTTTGTTAGAAGTGCAGGGTCACAGATGACATATTTTTCTTGTGTGAAAGCTACAAAGCTTTTTTTTCAACAAAGTTATTAAGATGTAAAACTTTAAATCATTCATACGTGATGAACTCATAAATGTTATTTATCCATATGATTAAATTACTGGTATTCCATATCATATCAGCCTACCACTTATCAACTTACGTGGAAAACCTTAAGCTTTCAGTACTTTTCAGTCAGAATAGGATAAGAAGAAATAATTCAAATTTTGTTTGCTCCCACTGTGCTGTGATATTGCATTATTTATGACAAGTACTGGAATAGAATAATTTTGAAATTAAATTTTCGAATTTCATGAATTGATTTTAGAAATTCTATTTTCAGAATAGGGAATGTTGGATCGAATAGTAAGTACGTGTATGGATGGACGTACTGTGCGCATTAATGTTATGCAACCATTGACTGTAAATTTTGTTACCGATGATCAATTATCCGTGGAAGATAGAAGCAGTGCTGTAATGGCAAAATATAAAGAGGTGTTACTGATTATGTCCAATGCATTTTCATACTATCAAATAAGTGAATACTATGAATGTCATGTGTTTTTTTTTACATTTTTTACGTGTAAGGATGGACATCAGTGTAAAAATGCTTACCGAAATAAGTAGTTGTACCGTTTCATTTAATTCAGTCGGTAATTGGAAAATTCAGTGTTTTCTTACGTAGTCGTAGCTCAGCGGTATAGGGGTCTTTAGCTTCTAAACTTTTCGAATCATACACAAGATTTCCTATCTAATTTCTTCTGTATTGACGGATATCCGATCGATAAGAGTTCAGAGCTCTTTCAGCTAAGTAATAGATTCAAGCATCTTTCACAATTTCCACTAAAAATCGTAGTTATACGTTGCGAATATTTCAGAGCAGTGGAGTCACTGCAGCACTTCCTAAAGTAAATGTTCGCAGACTTTCGCCTAAACCACTCTCATGCAAAAATTTTGATATACCTAAAGCATACATCAAGTATCGCGTAAGGTTAAATGAAGAAATGGATAATATCTTGGAATACGATGTTGACGAGGAGGTTTCTTTTCACGGTTTTAATATTCTTAAACTGTTATGACGCCTAGCTTCATGTTCACATATTAATGACATCAATTGTATGAAAATGTTCTTTTTTTTTTTTTTTTTTTCATTAAAATGCTGGTTTTCAGTAACTTTAGATAAAGTTCACCGGATATGCAATGCTTTTTTACAGGATATGGAATGGTTAAGTCTTATTTCAAAGAAATTAGAGAAGGCTGGTGAAGAACGTCTCAGTGTGCATAGTTTTGAGATTGCAATGGATCGTCTGGAAAAAGAAAGTTTTTTCCAAGTAAGATAACTTGTTGGGCAATCAGAAAGTGTCATTAGTGGTATGTCGACTATAGTTTTGTGAACAGACATATAGTTAGGGTGCCACGCTTCTTTCACACTTCACTATGCTGAGCTATACGTTTCGGTCAGCTATGTTAACGGGTAGAGTGCTTATTAAAGTTTCATTAGGAATGGTACTGCTTGCTAAGTAACATCGCTAGTGAACGGATTTCAGGAATCATAGTTTATGGTCTAAATCAGAATAAAACTGCAAAACATTTGACACTTATGCTTGATTCTTATTTTTCATCAGTATTTTATAAGACTTTTCCTGGAAATTTTCGAGAAGAGAGTTTTCTAAGCATTTGGCGATGACGAATGCTTGATTTTTACGTGATGTTAAAACTACGTCTTACAGTTTAAAGTCTGCAGTACCTTATAATGTATTCATAATTAATAGAGTTTTGGGTTTTCCCTTTTTTTGATTGGATTTATGGAACTTTATTTTATTAGCGATAAGCAATTATAGTGTTCAAAAGGTGATGGTAATTACAAATGTCTGGTTGATCAAGATGCTGTGTGCTGCGTGTGTAACGATGGAGAAGGCAGCAATATTAATCAAATTATTTTCTGTGATATGTGCAACATTGCTGTTCATCAAGTACATTGTTTTACTTCTCAACTTTATTCTGGTTGACTTTGGAATTGTCATATTTATAAGCTTTACTTTATTTCATCAATGTCCTTTTCATCCTTTCTGTCTAAGTTAATGAAAACTCAGGATTGTTATGGCGTGCCGTATGTTCCGGAAGGTCAGTGGTTGTGCCGTCGTTGTCAGATGTCACCATCGAAACCAGTATCATGCGTACTTTGTCCAAGTTCGCATGGTGCCTTTAAGCAAACAGTTGACAGTCGCTGGGCTCATGTTGTTTGCGCATTATGGCTAAATGAAGTATTATTACCATAATTTGTAATTCCGTTTTAATAATACTTCAAAAAATTCTAATTCTAGAAAAAAAAAGATGGAGAATGAGGAACGGAATTATGCGTAAAAGATGTCTTTAATTCTATAGATAGACAAGAGTGACGGATTGCAGTATCGTGAAACTGACATTCTAAATCCATGATGATATTTTCCTCATCTTACGACTTGCACAAATTAAAATTTTATTAACTAGAACATGAAATTCAGTTTGTAATTTTTTGCTTTGCGCTTTTTTTGACATTTTTACTTTTTTACTGTTTAAAAAATTTTTTAGGTTCATTTTGCCAATAGTGTGTTTATGGAACCAATTGATGGAATTGAAAATTCACTGAGACGAAGGCAGAGGCTGAGATGTATTGTATGCAAGCAAAAAGTGGGAGCATGTTTGCAGTGTTCTAGAGTATGACAATTTTTTTGGCTCAAGTATTTCATTAACGATTAAAAATTTATTACTTACGTTGACAATAAGCAGCACATGATGTTAGTAATGCTGATTGCTAAAAGAGTGCTTAATTCATTTGCTGATAAAATCTAGATATATGATAAATGTGGCAGTTCGGCATAAAGCGTATTGAATTTCCTGATCATAATAGTGTGTTAATCACTTAATCACTGATGATTAAGCAAAAAAAAAATATTTGTTGCTAAATAACTACTTGAAAGCTAAATAACTACAATGAAATATCGATATTTAAACGTGCGCTGATGTGCCGGTTCTCGTATAAGCTTCTATAGGTTAGCCATTTTTATGGAACACTAGTATGTTTGCTACTTTTTCTTTTTGCACTAAATTATTCCAGAAAAGCTGTACCCGCTCTTTTCACGTCACATGTGCAAATGCTGCGGGCATGGAAATGCGTGCTGAAATAGTTGACAATCCTAAACGTGAGGGTGGGACTGAAATTCGGTATACGGTATTCTGCCATTTTCATTCAACTGATTTTGCAAAGTATGTTTCAACAGATATTTAATATTTGATTAGAAATGAAAAACAATGCGGTCAAATTATTATTATATGAGTTTGGTAATTGGAATCATCAGTCACTTTCAAGAATCTGAAGAGATGTGCTCAGCTTGCATCTACGCCTGTATGGATAAATCCTCTGAGATTATAACATGCAATACTAGTACAGTCACAGTGAATAGAATGGGTCATGTGTAAATTGCTAAAAGATGGTTATATTTTTACAGAAATGATGGAAGTGATTTCTCCAAACAAAAGAAAAAAGTGGTACGTCCTAAATTATCTATTCTTTTCGATGGAAAGCTATTTTTGAAATTTCAACTTTGTCGACTTTTTTTAAGATTTTTCATCAACATTCATGAATGTATTTAGGATGAATTGATGAAAAAGGCACGTGAAAAATTAGCAGCAAGTCAAGCAGTTATTCCACCGGTTTCTATTCCCACTGTTCCACATGAAAGGTATATTCTTTATTTTATCGCCATATCTTATTTAAAATTTTAGTTTGAGTAGTGGATTGACTAAAGCAGCAAGTGTAAAAGCATGAAAGGACGTTTGAGGACGTATCACTTGTACAAAGGATAATTTTCTTCTCATAGATTTATATTTAGAAATTATATTATTTCTTTATAAATATTATTTCTTCTTTGTTGGGAACTTTATATTGCTAATATGCATACATATCTCTGATTTACATAATTTTGTAGTCTAAAGAGAATATGTGAGAAAGCGGATATTAGTGAGAATGTGATACGTTACATCGTTGCTTACTGG